AGAATGGATCAAGTGAAATGATTGTCTACGGGTAATGAAATTCAATTCATCTTTACTACGTAATTACATTATCATGGACTATCCCAATTGAGAACTTTTTCTTCATTTCCTGGGAATAATCGTCCAAAGTCTACAAGTCCGCCTTGTATTCTAAAACTAAAACTGTTAATGTAATTACTTGACAAGAATTGAAAGATAGTTTACCAGTTGTTTGTTTAATTCACTTTCATCTAGAAGCAGTTATATCATCATCGTAGATTGACAAGTTAATTTACTCTAACCGTGTTTTATACTCATCATGATTATTGCAGTTTAATCGATTGGAAATGACCTCGTCATGATTTTAGATAATTTATTCTTGCTTCTAACAGTCCTTTCAAAAACATTCACTCAATCCCTACGTTTTAACAGTATTTCTATCATGATAACCATGACAATCCATTTCATTATCCAACAAGATGTAAAATATGAAAACAAAACCGTTTTTCCTCGGCAAGACAGCTTTTCAAATTGGCCATTTTCTCATCATTCTTTGTCGATTTCGTCTTGCATTCTTCCTCACTGATGGATCCTATAATATCAGTTAAGCTTTCTAAATGGATTTGACCTCGTTTTCAAGCGGCATAATTGAGCATAAACTGTCAAGAAGTGTGCCATCATTTTAGTCTAACGGTAGTTATAAATATAAATAGAATTTTAAAAGTGAATTAAAGGCAGTAAATCACTGGCTTCCATGGTGAAATGATTGATTTTTTTGCCTTACGCTATTGCTGTCAAGAAGGAGTGGAACAACCAAGATAAATGGATTGTTTCAACTCAAATGAACTTTCCGAATAGAGGTTACTCTTTTAACAAGGAAAATGTTGACTTTAGCGACGATGTTTGTTTAACTGGATCCGGAAATTGAATTTGAAATGATCTACCATCTCGTAACTTGTTTATTCCTACTTTCTATCTCTATTGCAATCCTTTTAATAAGGGAGAATGAGCTTCATTCCCCTATCCTAAGACCGACTAATATAGGACTAGTAAACTAGAAAATTAAATGGCAGCAAGCTTGATCAATATTATACCGGCTGTTTAAGGTAGTTTAATAAGGCGTGCCGTCGCCATTCCTTTAACATCTATTGTCATCGATGATGAAAATAGTCTAAGGAATTGAATAGCTCGAATGCAAATGTGAACAAGGTGTTGGCTAAAGGGAATTATATCCTGCTGATTTGCCTATCAAATTATAATACTATTCACCATCCATTTGTAATAATAAATGGTTTAAATCATTGCCATCAAGAGTAATCGTAGGACTACTGTCTATTTTAGCTTGAATCGAGTTTAGGTTACCAACGATTTGATTGTGCTCGTGAGTTGAAAAGACGCCTTCCATGGGGGTAATTTTTCATCTTTGTACATTACTTATGCTTAACTGTATTGATATGTTCATTCTTAAAGAACGTAATGGATGATTCACAACAGCAATGGAAAATACTAGCAGCAGTAGTCTGTTTGCTTAAATAGGCAAGAGTGGATTACGCCAATTGGCCTTGCAAGGCGTCTATTCTAAATCAACATCTAAATCCAAGTAGTTAGGAAATGCAGTTGTTCAGTTGTCGTTATTGACTTAACAAATTAGCTGTCAATATTCCATAACTTCTGGACTATTTAGAAGAAATGAAAGTTAACAGATGCAATTAGTACCGCCATTTTAACTCCATTCTTGCCACACGTAGTCTTGGGCAATTTTTTTATTCCCTAAATAATTCTCAGCGAGAAAAACGCTCCTGCCACGACATCAATATGCCTCCAGCACCATAGACTAGAGGCCGTATCTCGAATTACCCGATCGTCTATCATGCAATGGATTCTCTATCGATCATGATGGTGTCTTGCTGATGGATAAAATTTTCGAAAGGATTTTCCATTGATCATTGTTTCAAAATCACCCTATATCTGAAATACTTTCTTCTACTGACTTATTCTCAATCGTTCCTCTCAATCCATTGCATCGTACTATCGATTGAAGATATAAACAGTGTATTGGTAGAATAAAATATCGCTTTATCATAATTATCCATTCATCTTCCTGGGCAATCTTATGTTATTATCGATCCCCTATTTGGATTTATTCTATAAGCGATTTTTTGTATCCATTTTCGTCACATTTTCATTAGCAGCTAATTAACTCCAAATAAAAAGTTCATAAATAACAGTAATTACTGTAAGATGATACTACTACGACAGTAGAATCAATTTGTTTTTGATAGCATGATAGCACATTTTATAAATCATTCCCTCATTTCGATCTAATTTTCTTGAACGAAATTTATTGCGTGGCCAAAATCGAATGGAGACAAAAGCAGAATAAGCTAGTTTAACTTTTTGACGTATCTATTTTTAACAATGCTAATGGCTATAGCTCGATTCTTGACAATTGACGATGTGCATGCCTCCACATATTCTAGTCCAAATTTACTTTAGTTCCTAAAGTATTTTTCCAGCTTTTCTTCCTTGAACACTCTCCCTACCTTTTAAATGATATGCTGGAGATATTAAATGATTGGACAGAGCAAGGTATATCATTTCCCCGATCAGATTCAATATCGTTCCTCTAGATGGGCTAGGTAGCAGTCGAATAACCACCATATAAGTTACCAATTGGCTAAAGATGGATCCATAATTATAATCACTGTTAAATTATGGATTTTATACGATGATAAAATTTATTTGAATTCATTTCTTCGCGAATCTTCTCGTAATTTATTGGCTTGATTCGAGATTGATTTAAATAGAACTAGATTGAGATATGCGGTAGATTAGCGACAGATTCTACTGAATAGGAAGAATATTGTTACGTTCAACATAAATCTACAAGTATCATCGCTTGGAGAGACTTTTAGCCAGATTACAGATTTGGAAAGTAAGAAGTATTTTGCTCATGTTGTATCTTAAGAACTGAGTTCTCTATTCTATAGGATTATATTCTACGGGATAGAACAACTATTGCGGTGCTCACCATGAATTTACACACATTTTAGTTTCGAAGATTTTTAAGCTAGATTATGCCTTTAGATATCAAGCATAAATTGCCCATGTTGATTCGTTGGGTATCATGAATTGGGAATTTTTACTCCACGGGACTATAACTTATGGTGAATTGTAGAGTTTTTTTTTAATCGTTTTCTTGAATATTGTCGTCTATCTTCCAAACTAGTCTATTCCTAAATTAAAACTGCTGCGTCGTAGATGCCGCTGTGAAGATTCAATACGGACAGCCTTAGACCGATGTTTATTATTTCTTTCCGTACCATGGACAAAGATTTAATTTCACTTGCCTCAATCATCGTTTTACGTCCGTGTACACCTTTTGAGTTTTCTTGTAGAATATTGCAATTCGCATATACTGAATTGGAATTTTGTTCTTCACTTTTACCGGTTCAATTTGCTCTTTAACTCATGGATTGTTGAGTAGAAATACTAATGCGACAACCAGTAATCCAGTTGTGCTATTTCTATCTATTTGAATTCCAACAATCATTTTGAATGGCCCCAAAATCGAAAAGAGTAATAGTACCATTGTATCTTCACATCAATTCGTATATTGATGTGAAAAATGGCTAAACTAAAGTTCCATTTTCATCATGTTTGCCAGAATACTGGAATAATTGAGAGTTTGCCATGATTATTTGATGATAGAAAGGATTTTATTTTACTGAATCAGTCAAATTTCATTCTTCTGACTCATTGTCATTCTAATTATATGACACATTGTCATCATGCAAGACTGATTCTATCCATTTAACTTATGCTCTTTAATTTATTTTAATCATTCGACTGCAAATAACTTTGTTCCTCAATTCAATGTATTATATTGAGAGTTTATGGAGGGATTGGACAAATGCAAGCTAGAGATATGCTGTAAAAGGTCAGGGCAGATAGATGGGATAACGAAGCAATTGAAGGCTACCAAGAATCAATTTCTATTTATTTGTAGAGTAGATCCTCCTCCTCCATCCAATTGCTCTATAAAAATACAGTTAACTTGGCTTTTGTTAGTGGATTTCTAGCACATTTATACTATATATAGATTGGCAATAAATAAGAAAAGAATGGATCATCTCAGGCACAGAAATGAAAATATTTCGTTCTAGTTTGATGCGATTTTAAGAGAGGATCTTATACTTTTGTGTGTAGATTTCTAGTACATTTACACTATACCTATATAGATTAGTAATAAATAAGAAATGAATAGGTCATCTCAGGCACAAAAATGAAAACATTTCGTTCTAGTTTGATGCGATTTTAAGAGAAGATCTTATACTTTTGTGGGTAGATTTCTAGTACATTTATACTATACGTATATAGATTAGTAATAAATAAGAAAGGAATAGGTCATCTCAGGCACAGAAATGAAAATATTTCGTTCTAGTTTGATGCGATTTTAAGATATAGGCTGAGTTTGAAATGAATGCAGTTGATGATTGACGAGGCAATCTCTTCTAATGATAACTTAGAATCAGCTTAACTATCCCGATCAAATGAACTAAAATTAATTCAGCCAGTCTCTTTATTATGAACATTGTTTCGAATATTTAGGATATTTACGTATTATCTTTACCTTCTTCCGCAATGTTATCATTTTATTTCAAGCTTAGCGTACTCATTCCTAAGTGATAGTTATGATTACCTGATTTTCTATCTTCTTGATGTTCATAACCGAACAATTACAATCTTTTACATATATAACATAACATATATATTACATAATATTATCATTTCATTTCGAGCCCAATATGCTCATTCCTGAACGACAGCCATGATTAACTGGATTTCAATCTCTTGATACTCGTAGCCAAATAATTACAATCTTTAGAATATTGATATATTAGCTTGACTTCCTTGCATGATATTGTCCTTTCATTTCGAGCTTAAGATATTTATTCCTAAACGATAGCCATAATTAACAGGTTTAAAATCTTCTTGATACTCTATAGCCCTTGTTCTTCATGCTCTTTGCTACAACTTGCACTTGCTCAACCTCAAGCGCATCTGGAAATGATGAAATCTCTTTAGTTATGTTTATGACCAGCGAATATGTTATCGCGACAACAAGTGATCTCCTAATATCCAGTAAGAGTTCCATGCTTTTATCCGTGCAATCGTCAATGCAACCAACTAGTCCACCACCGACAGCACCTACCACAATAACTCCATCGCCAACTACTACCACCAATCCATGCCAAGGATCGAGAGCTTGTGGTAATACTGCTACCTGTGTAAGTAAATCGGCAGGCTTGTCATTTTATTGTCGATGTAAAGAAGGTCATTATCTTCGAAACGAATCTCTACCAATGGTCGAGAATCAATCCGGTGACAATTGCCGACGTAAGTTGATAGAGTAGAAAGATAGATGACAATATCATTAGATTACAGACATTAAGCAGTCATTATTTTGCATTGCTTGAGTTTTTCACGTCGAAATTGAATTAATTTCTTTAGCTGGACAATTTCTTGGTGGTAATTTAACTCTTGATACGACATATACTCCTGAGTTAGCCAATAAAAGCAGCACTCAATATAAAAATTTAGTGGCTACTGCCAAGCAAAAGGTAAAAAAAGTATTAATTTAGATATTATCGACTCCTGGAAATGTCCAAATCGTTTTGTACTCATATACCAATGTATTGGATTATTGAGCTCATTTTCAATATTTTCTCATCAATCTGTTCTAGTTGGAAGGAGTGCTACGGCAAGAATATGGAAATGTATTTGAACGTGTTGTGATTGATAGAATTAGGTACGAAAATAGATGGGATTAATTTGATTGCGTGTTGGAAACGATGGATGAATTATCGTCACAACACCAACTCATAACTTGTTACCCCTTCAAGTTTCTCGTAGTTCAATCGTTCATTCTTATTTTAATTTTATATAGAAATGGAAGCATTATCTTTGATTTCCGCATCATCATGAGATCAAATTCAACAAATAATGCAACTCAAATAGCCTTGACCATTTCCGACCTAGTAACAACAGTGGGAAATGCCAACGTTTCAAAAACTTATGTAGCAGGTAAGGATTTCAGAATTTTATACCACCAATTCACAATGACATCCAATTTGTTTTAACAGTTTTTATTTTCTCCCATTTTCAATCGTTTCATAGCACTTGATGTATGCGTTGGAAGTAATCGCCCATGTTTAAGTACAAATCAAGTTTGTACTCCTACAAATGGAGGCTTTCAATGTGGAAATTGTCGGACTGGTTACCGCTATAATAGTTCGACCAATATTTGTAATGGTAAGTTTTTATCCATTAAAACTATCTATTTTAATGAGTGTTTTTCTAACTCGTGATAACTCCTCAGTTAAGCTTAGTCTTTCCACTTCGAGCAGTTCCTACCTTTCATAATGCTATTACTTCATAACATCGTCCATAACTTTGCTCCCATTCTGTCTAAGATATCAATGAATGCATAGCCCAACCATCATTCTGCCATAATCAGAATCGTACTTGTACAAATGCCGTTGGCTCATTTAGCTGCCAGTCTTGTCCATCTGACAAGCAATACGATAGAGTCAATAGAAGTTGCGTTGGTAAGGCAATTTCTTTATGGATAGAAAACTTTAAAATTTTTCTCTAGTCATAACTGTTTGACAGCTTGGATCTATCATTTGATGACATATCAACTCAATTTTGTATTATCTTCTTTTCATTATCCTTTAGTTGCAGTATCGTGTACTCCAAATCCTTGCAGATATAGTGGCACCTGTATACAAATACGTAATGCTAATAGCATCACTTGCAAGTATGTTTTCCGTGTGTTTTAATTGATTTAATATTGCTAAGAAGAAACGAAATAATCTTGTCTTAGAAGCTTTACAGCAGTACATCGCTATTACATTAATGGAACTGTATATATTGATAGTCTAATCATGAGCTAATATGTGGATTGGTAATGAAAATATCAATTAGATTCGTATCTAACCTTTTGCATGTTATTATGGCCCAATATTCTATTTGGATAGCATAGGATGATTTCTTAACCCCCTTCATTCATCTTAGAATTATGATTCATTATTTAGCTATAGCTCGATACAATAACAATAGCTTAACGGAAGATGATGGCAAATAGACTTAATACTAAATTTTTTACTTATAATTTTAGGTGCATTATTTTTTTCAAAGGTGATCGATGCCAGAACTTGACTGGTATGTCAGTTAGATCAAATAGTAACATCCTTTCGAGCTAAAATTGTATTCTGAATATGTTCATTACTAATGCAATATAGATCCACTACAGTTGATTGATAGGGTTTCAATTTTGGAATTAACAATTGATTTATTTCTATATCATCAGATATCGGTATTGCTATCATTGCTATTGGTAGTACGGTGGTAATTCTGATTATTTTAGCTATTACTGCCGTTTGCTATTACGTTCGTACCAAACGAAAAGGGTGAGAATTCATCTTGAATAGAGAAGATTAGCAATTGCTTTAAAAATGATTTCAATTTTATGCATGACTAGCGATTTAAGGCATGAGGTAGTAGCCATAGTATGATTTACTTGATCTCTATAATATAGCATAGATTAACGCGTATACTCCGTTCATAGTCTATGGCTACTGTAATGTCTAATCATCACGATTTAAATTTATACGTACAATTAATCTTGATGATTTTTGACTACGTCATGAATAATATGCTACACTTAATGACCTCTAGCCTTATAGCAACATATAGAGGCTAAGATGAAAACAAAGTATTGCATTTAGACCCAATTCGTTCTATAGCACATTCTCCAATAATATTGGATAAATTAGCCTAATTTAAGATACAGATTTTTGATATCCTTTTGTTATTACGATCAATTTAGCGATATAAGGCACAAAATTTTGCTTCTACATTATAAAAATACATATCTGATACGGGACTCTATTGTGACATTGCTTATCAATATAGACGTATAAATCTATTTAGTTTTATTTTATATATATATGTGTGTGTGTGTGTTTTATTTTATATTAAATCGAGAAAAATAAATGAACGACTAGCATCCATATCTACTGTTTTGGCTAAATTAAATAATGAAATAGATATGTATTAGTGCAATTGAACGATCAAAATAAGTTTCTTTATCCCGATATCCCACTAAATTTTATTTTAAATTGAAATTTGGATTCAGAGTACGCCATCCAACTCGGCAATGCGCTGGAGTAAATGAAAGTGAACAGATTGTCATGGATAAATTACTGAAACCACAAATCAGAGCCGCTCAGTTAGAAACCAATGTGCCTACAAGACCTTATGCGGGTGAAATTGGTGGCAAACACACAAGTGTAACTTACGAAGATAGGCAAATGTTGACTAGAAGTAAAGTATTTGAAGAATAAGATGTGGCTTATTATAAATGTCGATCGAGATCGGTCTCCATCTACTTTATAGTTGAAAACTAAAGATACATAAGCAAGCCTATTTTCAAAAATAATCTTTTCAAGTGTAAACGCTATAATCGATATTAACATATCGGGATATAATCAAAGCTCGTTTTAAGCTAAGATTTTAATAATAAATTTCAATAGTAATGCGCTAAAACCACTAATAATGGTTTAATGATAATTCACATAATCCAAAATTCTAATGTAAAATTTCTCAGTATATTTGAAGCAGTTTTTTCGTCAATTTATTTATCATATTTTCATTTTTAATACTATATCATTCCTATTAGAATGAGGATTATTATTATTACACACCAGCAAGCAAAGCAATTTTTGCATACGTAAATTGAGCAACTGGTAAAATAACCTTGTGACTATAATTGATTTCTTATCCGGGCATACTTTAAATATTTCTATTCAAGGATAATCTATCGCAGTGCTGATTTAAATTATAATTAAGTGGGCTATCATTACATCTTCTGTGTGAATGTCTGCTTTAATCTATAACACCAGCAAATAATAATTGTTATATTGAATAAAGACTTGACTTTATTTCAGATATCGTGAGAGCTATGATTTATTAAAGATGGCATACACGAGGATAAATGAAATTAGTTTCTCGTCAAACAAACCTACTCCGTTAGCGTAATAAGCTAGTAGTATCTACTTGTTGTAATCACTATACAAAATAATTGTCCTATTCCAACAATTACTGATTAATTAACATAAAAATATGCTACGAATATTGTGCAAGATTGGAAACCATGGCAATAGATTAAAAAAATTACTTATTAAATGGGAAATTAAATGTTATAATATTCTTAGCAGGGCAAGTATGATGATGCTCTTACCTATGTTGAACGAGAAATTCCAAATCTACCTGGCAACACTTGGTGGGAATCATCCTCATGATGCTATATATTATCAAATTAGGGGCAGTTCATCGATAGAAGACTATCATCAAGCTATTCTCTTCTATCAAGAGTCCATTTCTATCATATACAATCTTTACGGAGAAGACTACCCTTAAATTCTTGACAATTTTTTACAAGTAACCGAATGTTGTGATCAACTAGAAGAATATCCTTAAAATAGCAGCAATGCCGGAGACAATCAATATCATACATCATCATGCACGGCTTGATCAGTAAATCAATCAGTTAATGATCATTCTACATCATCAGAAAGTAATCTCAACATTCGTGTATTATAGAAATAACTGATAACACAAACTTTAAATTCCATCCTACTAGAACGGCAGCAGTAGTGTCTGATGATACAGTCTCTTCTCTACTCTATGCCGTATCGCATTAGTCTATTTTACATAAAAGTAGTGATAGTATAAGTGGTATAGCATAAATATTTGTAAATTGGACTAAAGCACACTAATTCCGAGTTTTATTTTGTATTCCAATTGATTTCAATACTAGTTATAGTTATCACATGTTCAGAGATACGATATATTTTCATGTCTATTGTAATGCGATCCTAATAATTAACATAATTTAAAGCTACCAATGCAATCTTGGAATATTTCTAATTCTTATCAGACGCATGATTGTACTATATCTCCTGCTTAATAAATTCCAGACACACCCTATTAACGGAATATCAGTATTTATTCATTGTTTTCTAATTAAATAAGAAAATGTATTTATTTTATTGCTATAGTTCCATATGTATGCATTGAAGCAACTATTGTCAGTGTTGTCTTGGGTATGGACTTTGTAGTATATTTTTTTTTGTTTTTGGTTGTTTGATAAGTTGCTACAATCAAGTGCTAGGGTTATTAAAGTGTTGTTTTATGGATATTTCTGGACCGTTCGTACCTTATAATATACTGTTATTCTCCTTCCAAGCGTAGCAATCATACAGCAGATAAGGTCTAGTGAAGGTGTAGGATGGAAACTTGATCGCTTTATCCGGGTCATGATTTATCCTTGCTAGGTAATATTAATCTTTATGGAGTGTTATAGATAAAAGTCAGGTGTAATTTGTGCACCAGGTACTGCTTAATTTTAGTTAATGTAGCACCCAATTTGTTAGCTATTCAGAAAGACTACTGCAAAGTTTAGAGTAAGAAAATACATAACAATAATTCAATTAATCAGGAGTAATAATATAGGTTATATCAGCGGTAATACTCCTAACCGATTTTTTTCTAATTATACTCGCATCACTGTCTAAAATTGACATGACAAACCAGAAGCTATAGCACTAGTATTTTAAAAATTATTATCTAGTTTTATGAAGATATACTGTATGTATAAATCAGTAACTATATCATGTTGTCTGAAAATTAAAGTCAATTTACAATAAAATGATTCATCCTTTCTTACTGTCAATTCTTGTACGTTATTCAAGCTAATACAAAATTATTACAACGATACTATCATGTTAATTACCTAGTTCCTAAAGTTAATTTGCTATAAAATAGTCCATGCATTTTTAATGTATTATATATCATTAAAATATCATTTTATAACGGTATGCTGACTGCACAGCAAGGTGTGCGAGTTAGCTAGTATATGTATAAATCAGTACTTGTACCACGCAATTTAAAATTTAATACTACTTATCGATTTTTTGATGTATTGTACGTTATTAAAGCGAACACAAAATTGATATAACGATAATATCATGTTAATGTAGTGATCTAGGCATTAAAGTAAATTTACACTAAAATAATCCATTCATTTGTGGTGTATTAGACGTTATTAAAGCGTGTAAAAATTGATATAATGATATTGTCATGTTAATTTTCTGTTCTATTTACGAGGCTTTCTCTAATTTTACATTCATGATGTGATTAATACTCGTATTTACTCATTCCACACCAGCTTTATACTCATGCGTGCGTTATAATGATGATGGTAGATACCGTGGATTACTGATGCTGGAATAATGTTGATGAAAAAAAAGGATGGAAAATTAACAATTACACAGTTTGATCAATATTTTCTTCTTTAAAATTATGACAATCATGATTTGCACGTGGTAGTCGTTCCGTAAATTAAGCATCGCTAAATTGAAGTCCGCCCCTAACTGCAATCAAGGGGAAGGTAGCTATTTTATATATTACTGCCTACATCGACTGAATTCTTCTTTGGCACAACTATCAAAGTGGCATTCTATTTGGAAAAGAGCATTGGTGTCTATTTTATTTATATGATATCTTGTCATTCTTGTTCAATAAGTTAAATATGGCTAGCCAGTCCGAATTAGCGACTTTCCGTAAAGCAATAAAACATATGCATAAAATAGGCATGAAACGAGCACAAGAAGGCGATTCTGAAGGAGCATTATATTGCTATAAAGAGGCTGCAGCTCAAATTAAAGCGATTCCTGATAGAGGTAATTATTTTGATAAAGTTGAGTACTCTATCTGTCTGGATATAGCGATTCATTATGTACAAGAAGAGGAATTGGAAGAAGTTGATCAATGGCATAGTCAAGCGGAGGAGTTGGCTACAAAACTGCAAGATCAAACGAAAATATCGATGTGTTTAGATGTTAAGGGAGACATTAAACGATTAAGAGGTGATATCGACGGAGCTTTAAGCGATTACAAGAAAGCACTTGAAACAAAATTGACCAAGTTAGGGAGCGAAGACATCATTGTTGGCCTTTCCTATATAAATATTGGCAAGGTTTATGAAATTCAAGGCAAGTATGATGATGCTTTATCCATGCATAACAAAGCACTACAAACGCAATTAGCAGAATTTGGCGACGATGATCCATGTGTTGCCACATCCTATCACGACATGGGACAAATCCTTTATCATCAAGGCAAGTATGATGATGCTCTGTTGATGTATAAGAAAGCGCTGAAGATTAGGCTAGAAGAATTTGACGACGATGATCTTGACGTAGCCAAGACATATCACAATATTGGACTGGTCAATAGTAAACAAGGCAAGTATAAGGATGCTCTAGTTATGTATAACAAATCCCTGGAGATTGAACTTGCACAACTTGATGAAGATGATGCAAGTGTTGCAACAACTTATCTCAATATTGCAGTGGTCTATCAACATCAAGGCAAGTATGATGATGCTTTATCCATAATGAAAAAATCACTGGCGACTCAAGAAGCAAAACTTGGTGGAAATCATCCAAGTAATGCCACTACCTATCTCAATATGGGCCATGTCTTTTACAAGCAAGGTAAGTATGACGATGCTCTGTTGATGTATCATAAATCGTTGGAGATTGAACAAGCACAACATGGCGAAAATCATTCAAGTGTTGCAACGCCATATCACAATATTGGACAAGTCTACAGTAAGCAAGGCAAGTATGATGATGCTCTCTCCATATTGAATAAATCATTGCAGATTCAACTATCACAACTTGGTGAGAATCACTTCAGTGTTGCCACACTCTATCACACCATTGGACAAGTCTACTATGAACAAGGCAAATTTAATGATGCCCTATCCATGTATAATAAATCACTGAAGATAGAACAACCCCAACTTGGTGATAACCATCCAAGTATTGCCACATTATATAATAGCATTGGGCTTGCCTATATTGATCAAGGTAAGAACGATGATGCTCTATCCATGTTGAATAAATCACTAAAGATTGAGCTAGAACAACTTGGTGACAATCATCCAAATATTGCTACAACATATCACAACATGGCAAGTGTCTATGATCATCAAGGCAAGTACGATGATGCTCTATCCCTGTATAACAAATCGCTTACCATCCAACTAGCTCAATTGGGTGAAAACCATCCAAGTGTCGCCCGTTCATATCATAAAATTGGACTGACTTATGATCATCAAGGCAAGTATGATGATGCTCTAGCCATGTTAAACAAGGCATTGGCAATCTACATAGCAACACTTGGTGAGAATCATCCTGATACCGCTACTTGCCAAGAAAATCAAGCTGAAGTTAAGCATCATATCGCATCTTTCACATCAACATAAGATAGCTTCCAACGGCTGCTTAGCACAGACCCAAGTTTTCTTGATCATAAAAACTAGAATTTCCTTTAGTATAAATGGAGCTCATAATATGCCTCATATGTAGATCACTAGTAAACCTGCTGTTCAAATGGAGGGTCAGAAAAATTGATCCATTTCATTATCTCCTCTAGAATCTGTCATGAAGTTAACGATTGCACAAGCAATAGTAACTTATCGGTCAAGTACCTTACTGTACAGTTTAACTCCTTTCATAACTACCATCCAATTACTGACTGATATTTTTGATCAGCTTTTGCTGTAGTAGAAAGAATACACTACCGTATAATATAACTCGTTTTATAACTACCATCCAATTACTGACTGATATTTTTGATCAGCTTTTGCTGTAGTAGGAAGAATACACTACCGTATAATATAACTCGTTTTATAACTACCATCCAATTACTGACTGATATTTTTGATCAGCTTTTGCTGTAGTAGGAAGAATACACTACCGTATAATATAACTCGTTTTATAACTACCATCAAATTACTAACTGATATTTTTGATCAGCTTTTGCTGTAGTAGAAAGAATACATTACAGCGTAATATTGATGACATCTAGTCCGTAAATAACCTGTGAGATGAATACTTTTATTTCATTACAAATATAGATAGTTGAATAATTAATCTCGCCATACTTTCCAAATACTCCTTAATAAAATGTATGTCAACACTAACTTCCTGTTCCCTAATTGTTTGGGTTTAGACATTTCGAATGTAGAAGGAAGAATAAAAATTGAATTTCTGACTAGTCTATTGCGTGCATCTGTTATATCCGTATATCAAGAATAAAATTTCCCTGATCCCCATCTACTTGGATTTAGACATTTCGAATCCAGAATCTGTATGGAATTAGACATTTTGAATTCATAAGGAAGAGAGTAGTCATTTCATTCTCCATTAATCCATTGAGTGCATGTGTTATATCTACGAATAAATAATAGCTTTCCTGTTGCCTACTACATGGAATTAGACATTTTGAATCCATAAGGAAGAGAGTAGTCATTTCATTCTCCATTAATAAATTGAGTGCATGTGTTATATCTACGAATAAATAATAGCTTTCCTGTTGCCTACTACATGGAATTAGACATTTTGAATCCATAAGGAAGAGAGTAGTCATTTCATTCTCCATTAATCCATTGAGTGCATCTGTAATATCTACGTATAGATAATAGCTTTCCTGTTGCTGATTAAGTCAGTTTGGTGAAGATATTTTCAATCCGTAAAAAGGAAGAATCATCATTTTTATTTTCGACTACATGTAGTCCATTTAGTGCTTCTGCTATACCTATCGTTATTTACCCTGACTACAAGTATGAATCCATTGGAAATTGGTCATGCTATGCCGTTAATACGTATGTCATCGAAAATTAATGATAATTAGGTGAAAACAATACTAATCTCGCTAGCTCATTGCATTAAGTAGTTAGAATAACCTCAATTCATTTTGCTATAAATATAAGCCACATTAGCACAAGACAATAACATGCAATAGCTATCATTTATTTGACATTTTCAACTATTTCCTTTCAGAAAAGGAAAACTGTATATCATGCTTTCAATAATTATTGCAGTCATAAACACAAACGCCATCCTTGTTCGTTAAGTAGAAGAACCTATTCAATAATTGCCAACTGTTGCGCAGTTAAGGTAACGCAAATCAATTAACCGACGATGACCTCAATAAATGCTTAGTTTTAACGCCAAACACTTTCAATGCATTATCATCACTGCTGATATACGCATATTGTAGAGCAAGCTGGATAGTACTTCAAGAATAAACTATTAAATGATACTGTTTACGGATAGAGTATCTACAGATTATGCAAACGCTATTACGTAATACAAGTATTTGCTATCCTACGATCAAGACCTGATTGCATTTAGCTGAAGCAAAACTTCATTACTTCTATCACTGTATAACTATCTATGGATGAGAAATTGCTAGAATAAAAATACAAGTTTAGACCCTACTTTTAAGCCACCTACTAAGGAGAGAGCTTGATGCAAAGTTGCCTTTCTTTTAATCACGCTTTTTCGACAACCCTGTCAACTCTTCACTCAGGTGCCACAACCTTTTAGCAACATCATCGTCATAAGCCTGTTTTGCACACGTTTTTTCTCGACAATCGCTGAAATATTTACCACTAACTCCTTCTAATGATTCATCTACAGCGCAAAAGATGGAGGTTTGTGCTCCTTGCTTGGGTGTTTTAAATCCAAGCCAAATCAAGGGTGTAATTAGAGAATTGAGGAAGCTAAATTTACGAACACTAAAGTGACGCTGGAGTTCCGTATCGACAGCTCCAGGATGTAAGCTATTGGCAGTGACTGCAGTTCCTTGTAATCGTTTGGCTAATTCACGCGTAAACAAGACGTTGGCTAATTTACTTTGAGAATAAGCAGCTACAGAACCATACCCTTTCTCACTATTGATATCATCAAAATTGATCTTTCCCATCGTATGAGCCAACGATGATACATTGATAATCCTACTGGGTGCACAAGTTTTCAATTTATCCAGCAATAAATTGGTCAATAAAAAGTGGCCAAAATGATTGGTTCCTATCTGCATTTCAAATCCATCTTGTGTTTTGGAGTATGGACACATCATAATACCAGCGTTATTTAATAAAATATCCACTCGATCTTCTTTCTCATTGACATAGTCGGCAAAGTCTCGTACCGACTGCAAAGATGCTAAATCGAGTGGGCAAAAGATAACCTCACTATTGCCACTTTGCTGTATAATATCTTCCACTGCTTCTTTACCTTTGCTTTCACTACGACATGCTAAAATAACGCGAGCACCACGTTGAGCTAAATCGATGGCAGTCGCTTTGCCAATGCCAGTATTGCCTCCAGTAATGATGACGGTCTTATGATGGAGTTTAGCTTTACTATGGCATGAACCTCCTTGATTATAAGAACGTAAAATCAACAGAGCGATGCCAGCGACGCCGACAACAGCAGCAATTTCAGGTGTAGAAATCATGGTAGATCATCCAATAGCACACTTATCAACTAAGATATTATAGCCCAACACTAGACCAACAAGATGAAGAATAACGAGGAAAAAGTGCAACGTTGTGGAGGTTTTACTTCCTCTTCTACGTTGATGATCGATGAATATAATTTGTTTAATGGCGGCGAGAAAGCTTAAGCAGTACCGGCCGGTATATAACCTTACTGTCAATCGCCGGACATCTCCATCATTTGCTTCCTTCCTGCCGTCCGTCTCTTTCGCTGAGTCATCAAGAGTTGTACAGTACAATACTGTAGACCGAGTACTGTACGGTAGCATCATGGACGACTGGAATAGCGGACTTCAACGGCCGAGCTTGGAGCGAGAAAGAGGAAAATAGTACCTAGACCTAACCAAGGACTTGTAAGAGGAATCAATTTTCCTCTTAAACCAATCGCTGGCCTAACCATAACCGAATAAAGTAGCAATTTCCTTTAGCATGTCCTGGCCTAACCGAAATCCCTGGATTGAGGTGAGATTGTACTGTAATTCTCTGTACCGTAGGCCGTACGAACGGTACTGTAGCCATCGGATGAACGGACGAAGGACATACGGACGGCAGCCTACTTGGGCAAATCAGGTCTTGTTGGGCCAGACTTTCATGTCTACTTCTTCATTCCATGGCTGACAATTCATGATTGGTTTCTTGCCTTAAGCTACTTTCCTTCATCGTAGAACAATCATGCATAAGGATGATAAGGTAGGCAGGTTGCCTGTTGTATTGCTGTTGATTGTAGAGATGGGCATATAAAATGAGGTGTTTGAAGGATGCATTGATGGATCCATCAATCAATCATGGCCTAACATGCAATGCATTTTGATTGCATAGATTCGCTACTATCCTATCCATACTGTCACTGGTGTGAATAGTAAAGAAACTCTGGCGACATCCAATAATCTTCGTGTTTGCATTAAAGTTATCCTGGTTATTTCTGCCATTGCCATGGCTCTAATCTTATGTTACCATCGCCCATATGATATTTCCACCCAACATCCGCCCAAGCAATCGCAACGAGATGATGACCAAAACAACATCAATCTCTCTCAAGATCATTGTCAGTAAGTACTAATATTGATCATCATGTCCTTCCTTGTTGCTGTATTAAGAGCATTAATGGGATGCCTAAATGACGCACGGATGTTCTAGTAAAGTACATGTTGAATGATTATAATGGACTCAAAAACTAAAGTACCTGCAGATATGATCTAATAAAATAACGATAAAGACTAGACTAGTCAGTCGCTGGAGTGCCCACCATTAGATTTATTTAATCTGGCTAGAAAAGAGTTATATCAACACTTGTCTCCCGTAGCGCTACGAACGATAATTATTAACTGAAGGTCTCAATCGTCAATTACCATGTACTTGTTAATATTCTAGTCTACTCGCATTTATTATGTGAATAATAGCAATAATAATATTCGACTCAAGGAGTAAAATTTCTGCAGACTGTTTAAATAAAATAAGATAAGGATAAGACTAATTCCATCACTAGAGTGCTGACGATTTAATGTAACCTCACTAAAGAAAGAGTAAGACGTATTAGCAGCCATCTTCCTTGATTGCTACAAGCTTTAACTGAATGCCTACGTGCCCAATGATTAATTGTTCGTTAATGTTCTAGTAAATATCGTTCCTGTTGAATAATAATTACAATATCATCGACTCATAAACTAAATAAAAATACCTGCAGATTGATTGAATTAGTTAACATAAGGACAAAACGAGTCAATTACTAGAGTACCAACGATTTAATTTAGTCTTTTAAAATAATAGTACTATCAACGCTCGTCTCCTTTGGCAATGTTTAATACCTACATGCTCAATGACCATTTGCTTGCAAATGATCATAGTGACTACTTCTTGAATGATTATAGTCGACCCAGAAACTAAAGTACATACTGTGCAGTGCAGAATGATCAATGAAGACAAAGGCTAGAGTGTTGACGATTACATGTAGTCTCACTAGATAATAGCAACACTCATCTGCCGATGATTTGATTTAGTCGCCCTGAAAAGTAACAATGTTAACACCCATCTCTCTTGACTACTACGAACGTTAACTAAAAGCTTATGCTCAATGATCCTTTACGCATTAGTATTCTAGTACAGTACGTACAGCGTATCTTAAATGATAATATAATCGACTCCAAAACTAAATAATTATACCTGTAAATGAGTGATCAAATAAAATGAGAACGAGAGTACCGACGATTTGATGCATAACATAATCTCGCTAGAAAATAGGAATAGGAACACTTATCTCGCGTGGTTGTTACGACCGTTTAGCGAATGCCTCAATGCTTATGGGATCATTGGCTTTCAAAACTAAAATACCTGCAGAATGGTTAAAGAAGATACGGATAGAGTGCCAACGATTCGATTTAGTCTTGCTAAAAAAATACTAATACAGTATCAACACTCATCTACCTTGGCTGATATTCCAATTTAAAGCACTTTCGCGCATTCATCGACCATTTGTACATCCTATCTAATTATAATTATTTTACTTATCCATTCTCTGTTTCTTTCAAGAGCTGAACTGGTGGAAAGTGTACCTCAAAATTTAACTTACCCGGCCAAAGCAATTCATTTAAACAGCACTTATCAAGCTTGGATGAAACTCATCAAGTCTGCTCAGCACACCATCGATATTGCCTCCTTTTACTGGACGCTGCAAGGTTCTGACACCAGCTTTCATGATAATTCAGCAAATGAGGTAAATTTACAATACTTAATATTTAAAATTTCAATCGCAAATAAAAAACAACTTTTGTATCACATATTACGAATCTGTTACTCAATATGGACTTCCTTTATTTAATCACTTTGTATGCTTCTTTAAATGGACAACAATCATAGGAATGCTATATTCACTTACATTCGTATAACCTGCATACTAGCATAAATCGACGTACGTTATACCGTATACCGTACTTGAGATAAAAAATGAATGTTTTCTATCCAAGCAATTCTTCTCAGACTATCCTACCTAACAATGAATTAATTAATTAATTATTGAATCGATGAATTCGACTTTGACTGTTAATCGATTCTATTTTCTTAATTTTACAATGTTAAATATAAAAAGGGCCAATCAATATTTCATCAATTACTAAATGCTGGTACAAAGAGAAATATATCTATACGCATTGTCCAGAATGAGCCAAGCAAAAGAATGAAGGATGTCGATACCCAGGAATTAATGAATAAGCATGCAGCTCAAGTACGAAGTATAAATTTTACGCGATTATTACGTGCCGGAATATTGCATACCAAATTCATGTTAGTTGATAATCGCCATTTCTTAGTTGGAAGTGCCAATTTTGATTGGAGAGCCCTAACTCAAGTAAGTAGTAGAAGCGCCTCTGACCATTTATCATAGACTACACTAGATTTGTTTAAGATCATATAAAAGAATAAATAAAGAAAAAGAGGGATATCAACTAACAAACAACACTAAAGGATAACTTGTATATACAAACTGTTATGTCTTAATTTATTTAGCACTTTATCACTGTTCATATAGAATATCCTTTAAGATTGATGAGTCTACAAGTAGCAGAATAGTATGAGATTAAAAATACGTGTATAATTTTTGTTCTTTATTTTAAAGTAACTCATATCATGATTTTATTATTATCATTTCATGAAATCTGTGCAATGGTCGTAGATACATGAGGTGGGTATTATGATGTCTAATTGCAAAACCCTGGCTACGGATCTGCAAAAAATTTTCCAGATTTATTGGAAATTAAGCGAGCCTAATTCGGTTATTCCATCTTCTTGGAGTCCCAATTATGATACTAAAATCAATGTTAATCATCCTCTGAATGTCCGCTTGAACAAAGACAATTATCAAGTGTACTTATCGGTAGGGAATTGTACAATGGAGTCATATTCTACATTTCTATGTTCATCAAATAGATTTATGGCATTTGTAACATTGTATCTTGAATAGAATTATTCAATACTTGCATGCTATTCATGCAGATTTAGATTATATCTATTAAGTTACATAACGTAGTTAAATAATTCAAAACTTTCATTCTTTACACTTTGTCTTAACACGGTAGTCATCTCCACCTCAATTTTGCCCTCATGGAAGAACTACCGATATTGACTCAATTCTAGCAACTATAAAGTCTGCTAAGAAGAGCGTTTCTATTGCTGTTATGGACTATTCACCGACAACATTGTATGCACATCCAAACAAGTATGTTGTCACTAATTATTATTGTTAAACTATATACCTTTAAAATGATGATGTATACGCTATTACTTAGTCTAAAGTTCTTAGCCAGTTTCTGCTTATGAACCGTGATATCTCAGTTAGCGAAACGATAGGGTGTCAAGCTGGTAGCTCTTTTTAACTTAGATATTTAAATGATATGTAATATCTTAGATTTTATTCTCATTAAATGATTTCTCAGCAATTGCTTACTTCAAAGGCCGCAACTAATCTGCAAATTGATTCTAATACTGATAACAACCATTTTATATCTGCACATGTGCCTAATTAGCAATAACTTAAGATTTTATTTCCTTAGAATGATGTTTACGCTATCGTTCAGTTCAGATACGTTACTAGTTTCATGTTAATACTAATCTTCATTAACAACGTCTCTACATGAGCAAGGTACTGGCCAGTAATTGATGACGCTCTCCGAGATGCCATGTTTAACAGAGGTGTCAACGTCAAAGTAATGGGTAGCTACTGGAATCACACCAGATCAAATATGATACGATTTCTTAAGTCGCTGGCTAGCATAGACGGTACTTCCAAAGGATCAATGCAAGTTGTAAGTTGACTGACTATACTTATTGACATATTTCACCGTATTTCTGGTGCCATTTTCTGTTATGGCTATAATGAATGTACAGTACAAATACTCTCAAAGGCACAATTATCAAATACTTTAAATTTTTTACACAAGAAACTGCGCATGCTGCAGTTTAATATTTATTCGAGTGATGTGATACATTTTTGATTGTTTCAAATTGTAAAATTTCCATGCTGTATACCAAGTGTAATTGGTATTTGTTATATCCATATAAAAATTTAATTCTCATGCTGGGAATGAAAGTATTTACTTGTAATTTGTGCAATACATATTATTTTTCTTGGATCTACCTAGCATTTTATTGACTTCAATTATATAACTATCGGTAATAGAAATTATATAGAGTTCCTGTCTACACTGAAGATCAAAGAAAAATACCTTTCGCTCGTGTTAATCATAACAAGTACATGGTGACTGATTCAGTTGCTTACATAGGTAACCTAATTTGGATCACTTGATTAATAATATATGTATTGCAGTACCCGCATTGACTAATGTTCGATGTATATTATATACTGATTAGCAACATATTGGTGTGTTAATATTTTAGGTACGTCAAATTGGTCGGGTGATTATTTTATTAATACCGGCGGCGTAGGCGTGATAATTAAACCACAGTCGGACCATTCCAAGAAATCGATACGTGATCAACTGCAAGATGTCTTTGATCGTGATTGGTCATCAGAACATGCTGTTGATATCTTTAAATTTAAATCTGATTTCGTTTGAGAGTACAGGTTAAATACCTTTTATAGCTGTTATACGTAGAATAATAGTACATAATCAATCATTAACATTGCAAGAATGAAACATTATCAACGTTCAGTCTTCAATGCCCTCATCAATCCAAAATTTATTTTTTAATTGTACCATCTTTATCGATTATAACGTACCACATTATCATCATATACATATATATATATATGTTTAAATCGGAAAGTAGCTACTATTTACAAAATTATCTTTTTTAGATATATCCTTTATAATTCCTGATATAATTATCATGATAGTACAAGAGACCGTCATGACATAAAGTAATTGCCATGATCAGCAGTTCTATTTACAAAGTTTGACTAATTTTTATCCATTAACAAACTTTGATTTGTTGCTTCTTTGTCACCATACAAACTATCTTATCAGTAACATTATTTTCATTGTTAAACGGCCTAAAAAGTTGTTGTAAGTCACCGTTTATGGAATCAAATAAAGAATAGAAAATGAAATAAATCGTAAATTGTTGGTGAACGGACGCAGCCGAATGTATGTCGTATTTATTCTCAATATGTTGTCATAAAAATTTTCTACTTTATTTTCTATTGCACTGAAGCCGTCGAATATCATACTTTCAACTTGTTAGTTAGTGGATACCTCACTTCTAAATGGCAGTAACTGCGGTATAATAGGTACAGAAGACTGCGATAATGTTGAAATATTAATAGGTCTCTCTGACGCAAGAAGATTCTTTACTGGCGTTTCAGAAACCGAATTGAAAGAATTTAGCGGGTTAGAAGAGACAGGATTATTTACATTTACATTAGGTGTAGATCCGGCCGCTGGTGTGGCCATATTTACATTGCCGACTGTTAACGGAGAACTTGTAGATTGTTGGAGACTTGCTAAAAACTTAGACGGAGTAGATGGGCTTTCGTTGGATACAATCGCTGGTGTTATATCAACGGGATTAGGGTTCCCAAACGTAGGAGTCTGGGGAAGTGTTGAATTTTCCATTATGGTAGAACTAGATTCCGATTCCAAGAATTTGATAAACAGCTCTGTAAAGGACTGGTACAGGAATAAAATTGTATTAGGTAAAAATACACCATTCTCAGATAGATAGAGGATAAACCTTTCAAAGAGCGGCAGTTAAAGGTCTAGAATAGCACAGTAGAAAATAGAAATTACCTGATCGCTATTTGGCGCTGCCTGTACTGATTGTTCCTGAGGCTGACTGCTAAATCCTAACCAACTTGTCACCCAACTTCTGTTTGGTGCATTAAGTCCAACCTTTAAGTAGATCCATTATAGCAATTACAGTTAGACTTATTTACGGTGAATCATTATACGCATCCATAATTATTTTAAAATTATACCTTTGATTTCTCATCATCAGTTAATTCTAGTATATTACTCAATACTTTCAGCGCATCGCCCTTTTTGTTATTTGAAACAGTTAGGTAACTGACAAGCATATTCTTTACTAAAATCCTAGTTAGTTAATTTAAAAGAAACAATATTAACAAACAGAAAAGTTACAATGAAATTTTGATCTTTATATAAGATTTAAGAGAAAATATGTATTTATTCCATTATTAAATTTAGTAATAACTTATGTTGAACTTACTTATCAACTCGGGCCTGATTTGAAGTTTGCATCATTTTTAGATGTTTTTTAGCTTCTTGCAGGAATGATTCTTTTCTTCTAACTAATTGTCAATTTGATAATTTATCATATTAACCTCTAAGGATACCATATAAGCTATATACAATAAATTATTTTGGTTTATTCCTCAACGTTAATCAACGTCATTACCTTCATTTGTTAAATTTCGAATTATACTGTCTTTCGTTTTAAGTTGTGCATCGAGTTGTTCAACTTTACTCGCAGTAAGAATTGTCTGCTCTAATTGATCCTTTACAATAACAAATCATCGCCTTATAAATATCTATTAATATTTAAATCTACAGTCAAGGTAAAGGCTTTTACCCGAGCATCCTTTTCCTTCCTTTGTAGTTCTTCATTTTCTCGTTTCATCTTCTTTAGCTGTTGCTCTAAAAGCTGCAACTCGGTGGCATTCAAACTGGACTGATCTAATACGGCAAAGATAATAAAGGAAATAACTAAATTTACTTAAAAATAATACTGCACTCACTTTAGATGTACGAGTACCTCTCTGAAATTGCTCTAGCACAATTTGCAAATTGTTAAGGGAGAGCTCTCGCTGTTGTAGTTGTTCTTGGGTTAACATAAGTTGATGTAAAGCATTATCACGCTGTACAACAGCTGCATCTAACTGCTTCTGTAGACTTTCAATTTGTAGGAATGCTTGACGACTAATAATATACAAATAATTAGTCAACAATAGAACAGCCATGAACAAATAATTGAAGTAAATCTAAGGCTTTAGTGATCGCACGTTTGCAGGAGTTATCATAAGATAATAGCACGTATAATTATTTACTATATATACAACGGATACCTATTATTTTGAGCTAAACTGGTACTATTTAACATTTGAGCTTGTGCTGACGATAACTGTTGATATAGCGCTTCCTCTGTGCTTTTTGCCTTCAGTGCTTCCTGTGTGTATGACTCTTCAATCTACCATAACAAATGTCAATAGTCATTTAATGATAAATTAGAAGATATACCCACTAAAAATAAAGTCAACTAAAATTGCAAAAATGATAGCTAATGACAATATAACAGAGCATACCTGAACTAAGTGCTGTCGAAGTCGTTCAAGTTCTGTTTGGTGTTTCTGCTCATTTGTAGCTAATTTATTAAGTAATCCTTCGTTTTCTATCCTCATGGCACTTATATCATTATCATATTTCTTAACAACGTACTCTAATTGAGTTATGGTGCTTTGTTTGATTGAAGCATCTTCTTGAAGTTTCAATGAGTCCGACTGAAGCTTACTAATCGTATCTTTATCAACCCCAATTATATTTGTCAATTTATGAACTTCTGATTGCAAAGAACTAACTTCCCGCTGTCGCTCCATCACTGTTTGTAGAAGTTGATTACGTTCGTCATCTAAATCTTGTAATTTCTTCTTTAACTGATTATTTTCATTCGTAGCATCAGAATTATTTTCATGATTCACAAATGTAGCCTGTTGAATTTCATTAACACGTTTAGCCATATCATTGCGCTCAATTTGAAGTCTTTCAATTTCTTCAACAAGATTGTTCCTTTCTTGCTTCACTTTGCTAATTTCTATATCCTTCTGCATCACCAACTGTTGATAATCATTTTTATGAAGCTCTTTGATTTCCATTAATTTAGAATTGTGATTTTGAGATTCCAATTGTAATTGCTTCACTTGAGCTTGCATGCCTTCATTCCGTATTTCTGCCTGTCGTACTTCTTCTGTTAGAGCTTGATTAGCACTTTGTAGTTGTACTTTCTCATTTTCAAGATTTTTTATTGTGCTTCTTTGATTTTGTACTTCTTCTTTTAATTCCTCACTCTCACTTGAAACTTTAAAGTTAGCTTTGGCGTCGCTAAGTAATTTCGCATTTTCACTTCGTAAAGAATCTATTTCTACTGCTATTTGTCGATTAGAATCTTCACTGGCTTTTAATGTATCTGTTAAGGTTTGAATTTCGTCTTCAAGCTGAACTTTAGTATTATCTAAAGACTCAATAGTGTTACGTTTCTTCAGTATCTCCATTTCGAGTGTATCCTTCTCTTTTGATATCTTGCTATAATTGATATTAGCGCCTTGTAACTGTTCAGTAAGCTCGGTTATTTTAGCGTCGGTAGATTTCGTTAAATTCACTTTTAATTCTTCATATTCAGTCAATTTACTATTCAAAGTTTCAATTTCTTCGCGAAGATGTTCTATTTCCATTAGTAACTGTTCTTTTTCATCATTCCCTTCAATAACTTGCCTATTGGCAACTTTTAGCTGTTCATAATTGGCAATTAAAGACCTATTTTCTTGATTTAAGGCATCATTCGCATTTTTCAATGCTTTTAATTTGGTTCTACTATCCAGTAATGCATTTTCCAAACTTTCTTTTTCTAATTCCCAATTACTTAGTACTTCTTCAGACAAAGAAGCTGATGAAGATAATCCTAGCATCTACATAAATCATAAAATAAAATTTAGAGTATTGATAAAAAAATGGGAAACATAGATATGGATATTAAGCGAATTACCTGATCTTGCAAGGATTGAATATTGCCCGTTAAGGTTTCATTTCCTGCCTTGAGATTTTCCATAACTAAATGCAGCTCATCGTTCTTTACTTTTTCGCTGGCCAACTGATCTTCCGAAATTTTTAATTGTTCATGTAATGAACGACTTTCAGATTTTAACTCTTCCAATAAGTGAGTATGTTTTTGATCGCTTGAGATCTTGTTTTCCAGTGAGGAATCTCTTTCTTCAGTTAGTGCTAAGAGTTGAGATTCCAGACTAAGTATTTTCTTTTCATACGTTTGATTCTTTTCTTCTACACTTTGATCGCGTAACTTGTGGTCTTGTTGATTCTGCAATATTTCCATAGAAAGAGAGTCTTTCATTTTAGTTAATTCCTCCACTTTTTCCTCTAGTTCACGTTTCTGCTGTTCACTCTTTGTTGAAGCCATTTGGAATTTGTCTCTTTCTTTGGTAATGTTTTGTATCAATTTGTTTAAATTAGAAGTTTTATCCTCATAATCTTGCTTAACTTTTTCTATTTCATTATACTCAGTCGTCAAAGTAGACCATTGTTCTTTCAAATTCTTCAGCTCTGATTTGCACTCTTCCAATTGGATGTTCGCATCAGCTAATCTTTTTTCCGTAGTCATTAATTCTTCAATTGTAAATGATGTCTGGGTTAGTGTATCGGTATATTCTGTAGATAGTTTATTTCTACTAGACTCCAACTGTTCGTTCTGTCCTTTAATTTGCTCTTCCAATGCTACTATTTTTTTCCTAGATTTATCTTGATATTGCGTCAATTTAAGATTAAGTGCTTTTAGTTTATATTTTAAAGCCTCGGTTTCCTTACTAGTAGTTGCAGATGCTTTTTTCTCACGCTCCAGTTGAGCTTTGGTTTCTTCAAGGCATTTCAGGCTTTCTTCATATTTAGCAGTTATTTCTGTTAAATTGTCTTGTAATCGTTTGTTGTTGGAAACATTGATATCGTCAGTAATAACTAAATCTTTATTAATATCTTCGCCGTCCAATGAATCTTGAGATTGTGGTAAATTTTGTTGTCGCTTTACCTTTTGAACACCATCCTGCAGCCGTTGAAGGTGCTCAAAAACTTCGATATTATCTCCTGTATTCATAGATTTTAAATTTGACTGTAGACGTGATAGTCTCTTTGATATTTCACTAATACTTTCATTCAAATCTCCTTCGTTATCGTGAGTACTTTCTTCTGTCTTCGAATCGCTTTGTATCAACGATTCAACTAAGTGATGTGAAGAAGCGTATAAAATGTTGTTAATATACGCTATTATCAGAGTTGATAACATAATCAATAAGTATTAGCAATAAAAATCTATGACCTAAATTTTTAGTAATTTAGTTGATCAAAGAACTAATTTGATTTGTGGATCTTGCATTGAAAGCAAAACGAGAGACGCTCTGGAAAGTCTTACCTTGGGTAGAATTTTGAATTTGTTCTTTTAGAAGTTTAATTGTCTCAGCATCATCTAAGCGAGATTCATTCAAGGCGTTAGTTTCCTCTTTATGCTTCTGCATTACAGCGCGTATCCTCTCATTATGAACTTGTTCTAGAGCTACCATTTCACGATTATGGTCATCTATTTCTTTGCTTAATTGCGATTTCAGATCCTGTTAAAGTAAAGATTAGGTCATGTAGGTGTGTTAAGAACATATCTACGCCATGGTAAAAAATTCTATTCTACTGAAATCTATGACAATGATTTCATCAATAATGCATGCCTGAATAATGTTGTGCAAAGGTTCCAAATCAGCATTATCAGCGATAGGCTTGCTCTTCTTTTTCTCCTATATTAATTAAAGTTACATTTGCTGTTAGTACAATTTTTATATCCACTAATACATCAACTTTGGTAATTAATCAATGTCCACGTCTTAAGTAAATCTTGACTGTTGTCCCGTACGCTGTGTCGAAGATAACTTACTTCATCGGCAATATGTCTCCATCGATCGCGTTCAACTTGCATCTTCGAGAATTCCATTGATAATCTATTAATCTCTCTTTGACATGAAATTATATCAGTAAAGTCAACAGTTTCCGGAAACGTTAGACCGGTAGATGTATTGGGCATATTTAGGGTAACTTGTCTTTGCTGCTCCATCGAAGCCTTGTCAACTAAGGCAGCATCTATAAGTTGCTGTTTCTCCAACATTTCTTCGTTCTGTTGCTTAAGACTCTTCAGTTGATTCTATTCGACAAATTTCATATCAATTTAAAACATTTCAAATGTAAACAGCTGTGCCATATTAACATTATATGAATAGAATACGCACATGTCAATACTAGAGACATTGTTTGTATACAAAATGTAAAATTCGTATAGTTAGATCTACAGTATTAAGATTAACCAATATAAATGATACTGCTTAAAAAGTATCACATAAGGACCTTAAATGACTGAAATAATGATTGTATTATTTATGACAACAAATTGATTATTCTTTAACACGTAGACAATAATAGCTTTGTGTCAATCAAGGAGCGCTTATGATGTTTACCTCTTTTTCTAGTAAAAGTTGTCGATATTCTCGTGATATACTTGATATTTGCAATTCAGCAGCTTCAGAGCGCTCTTCCATTTCATTTTGATGCCTTTTCAATCTTTCATACTAGATATTGAACGCTCTTAATTAATAAAAGTAAAATTGTGCCAGGAGAATATTATCTGTGCCATTCATTGGTAGAACTGCACTACAACAATTGTACTCGTATTCATGAATTTTGTTAACCTTCTAGTAAAATTAATAATTAGGCATCGACTTTTAAAATGTACGGTTCAGTAGATTAATTTTTTTTCTATTCATGTTTTCATGTTTGAGCTCATACACTGCATCAAGACCAGTAATCACTATTTTGAGTTTTAAGGCTTAACACATTGACACATATTGTGTATAAATTGCTCTTTAGGCCTGACGATTATTAAATGTATGACACAGGTACTAAATAATTTTAAAATAGTGAAATTGATTTCATTGGTTAAGGTTGGTGATATCATTTACACCTTTAACATTAATTTTATTACCTCTTCCTTATGTTGCTGTGCATCAGCTTCTAATTGTGTAATGAGATTTCTAGCAATTTGCAGCTCAGTAAGATGATCTACATTTAAATATAAGACCACAGTCGGAAAGATGACCATTAGCTAATTCAATTATTTTATTACAAGGATAAAGTCGCACTCAATGTATATCAAGATATGTGACACTAAAGAGCTCTTCGATACCGGATATCCCCCCACAATACCATCGTTCACAATTAGCGAAAGATATGCATCGACTACGGGTTATCCAAAGAGGGATAAGATGGTTTTTATATCGTAAACACTTTACACAAACTGCCGTCTTATTCTATTTCATCTGTATTATGGTCAATCAAACGAGGCTATTAGTGTCTATTTACTATACCGATAAGTATGAGACAGACATTGGATACTTGATTAATCACAGCTACTTTAACATCTCTGTTCAGTTAAGTCATAAAATATTATGCAAAGATTTGTTTCCATCTCTACATGTATTTCATTTTCAACTTCAAACATGTTTTGTCGTGATAGCTCCAACAGGATATAACACTATCATCGGCATACGATCATCTTTACTTGGTTAACGCCATACATTTAAATTATTTCTTGTATCATTGCGGCGATTTAATATAGTCTGCGTATCAACAATGTATATCCAAGAGGACTAAATTAATGTCGTCTAACTTTACTAGCAAGAAAAAATAAATTGTATTTCGATTCCGTTAGCCGGTTTCTATAACATGTTGAGATCTTATGGTAGTATTGGAAAATTATTTACTGGATCGATAAGTATGATGCTTACAACGTTCTCTCTCACGATGAGTATGACCATTGCCACTACCCGTCATTATCTAGAGTGGTATATGAATTATTTATTTTACATTTATATCAGTATTTCATTTACAGTAGCAGCTTTTTCTAGTTCCATGACAGCAATACTATTCTTGTCATGGCAATCTATTATGTGTGTCTACCATGAACGTTGGAGAGGATTGCTTTGATTATCCGACCCGATTCATTGCAAACTGTAGCCTCCATGTTCTGTATTTTATCTATATCATGGTCTATCCTGAGAGATTATTAAAGCATCATTGATAAGCTATAAAGTATGGATGATACCCATTCCCTCCAAGCAGTAATATTACGACACTCATTATTATTCCATGTCTATCTATATCCAATCATCAACAGTCAAAGCTGAATTATTTTAGACATCTATTGTAATTCCAATTATAATAGAAATTATACATCTAGTTCCATCATACTAGAGACATGGTGTGATCCTTCTATCATTACCGAAGTTGTCCATGATATGCATCCACTATGGATGCCCGAGAGGATTACAATAATCGTCTTACCTTATTCATTTCAATCTAACTGTAGCCTTTTCACAGTCTTTTAACCATATCAACATCGATCGTAGTACGACATTAAAATATCATTGATTGACTGCATGCATAAGTAGGACCAAGACGCCCTTCTATGACTAGGATAACGATCACTATTGCTCTACAGTATATCTTGAATATACCATTAACAACCATACTAGACGAATTATTCTACATTTCTACACGTATTTCAATATCACTGTAGTCTTTACATCATCCAACTCGTATACCCATATCAAGCTCATCGTATTACAACATTAGAGTATGATTCATTCAGCCGGTGGATCAATAAGATCCAACACGCTCTTCCATCACTAGAATGACGATCATCATTGCTGTACAGTATGTCTTTAAATATCTCGTCAACAGTCAAAGTAAACGAATTCGATAACTACTGTACATTTCTAGGCATATTTCAATGGAACTACAGTACATCCTTTTCTTAATCTATATCATCCTCTACGACGATCGAGTTGGATTCATTAACCCTATCGACAAGGAGGACCACTACACTCTTCTATCTATCCAATGACAATCATCATTCCTGTATATCTTTAACATGCCAATTACTGTGGTACTACACGAATGATTCTACCCTTTGACACCTATTTCATTTACAAACATCGTCTAACATGGCTGGAAAGGCGTAGTCATGTTATCCAACTGTGGGTAACCGTATCAGTCGTTTGACAGAGACAGGAATGGAATTATGGTCATAATGTATTCTGGTTTTGTACCCATTCTAATCTATTTTCCATTTATACAAGGATTCCTTTTGAAAAGAGTCTGTTCTGACTGCACTAGAATCGAGTTATCATAATATCCTACTGGTGTTATTAAATTGTCAACCATCCTCTTGCTCTCCAATGGCGATTTCATTGAATTTGCTGTACCTTGAGGGATAATCGTTGATTGCACATGGGAATCATTGGGCCAATCCAACTACTCCATGGATGATTTTAGCCCGTTGATTTCATCCTCATGCTATTGCACTCTCCCGTCTATTGGTCATTGATCGATTGGCATTTCTCGCATCGATCTTGTGTATCCAATGGCTCCATTTTTATTGTGGTTACTAAGCAATGGAAAGACTTACCTGGAATCTCTTGTGTTCCTTCGACCAAGACATCTTTAGTAAAGTTGGAAATTTGATCGGTGATATTATTAAAACTGCCAGTAAACCACGCCATAATGGCGCTACAGTGGTCTCACTTGGTGATAATTGGCTTGGAAATAAATAAATACCAATAACCAATTCAAGAAGGGGAAAAATAACCAGCAAAAACGAAGCAAATTCACCAACTAAGAGATGGTCCAAGTTGAACTATTTAAGCGTCCATTGGCCTCTTTGTTACGTCATTTTGCCCGCTGACCGGACTGTCCACAACGATCCGTCTGTCGGCTGAGCTGACCAAGATTGATGCGTCCCCGGTGGTGACTTGGCCTATGGTTTGCCAGGTCGTCACGCTGTCACTTCTGTCTGTCAAAGGGATTTCTACTCAGTGTACTGTAGATCAAGAGGGAAATGAAGTGACTGAAACAGTCGATGAAAGTAATACTATAGTAATAAAAAAGTCGTTAACCGTGGATAGTAGTCGACAGGGTGATGTTGATGTGGCCAGTCTATTAGCGAGAATGGATGGCATGGATTTGTCGAGAATGTCGACAATAAGCAAACAGAAACAACATGGACGAATGAATAGCGTCTTGACAACTTGAAACACATGCTGTATTGTCAGCACTTGCAGCTTCTACAAGTCAACATTAGTTTAGGTCGAGTAGGTTGCTGGACGTGAATGAAATTCACTTTAAAGCGATCGCTGGAACTTGTCACGCTGTCACTTCTGTCTGTAAAAGGGACTTGTGTATTGTGTACTCACTGTACTGTACACTGTACACTGTACAGTATTGTACGGACCGGACTGTCCGCAACGATCCGTCTGTCGGCCGAGCTGACTATGGTTTGCCAGGTCGTCACGCTGTCACTTCTGTCTGTCAAAGGGATTTCTACTCAGTGTACTGTAGATCAAGAGGGAAATGAAGTGACTGAAACAGTCGATGAAAGTGATACTATAGTAATAAAAAAGTCGTTAACCGTGGATAGTAGTGGACAGGGTGATGTTGATGTGGCCAGTCTATTAGCGAGAATGGATGGCGTGGATTTGTCGAGAATGTCGACAATAAGCAAACAGAAACAACATGGACGAATGAATAGCGTCTTGACAACTTGAAACACATGTTGTATCGTCTGCTTTTGCAGCTTCTACAAGTCAACATTAGTTTAGGTCGAGTGGGTTGATGGACGTGAACGAATTTCACTTTAGAGTACAGTGCAAGGAAAAGCGATCGTTGGAACTTGGAATATGGCTTGTCCGTCTGTCCATTTGCAATGGTATCAAGTCTGGAAAGAGTAGTTCTAACGATAGAGCTTAGTGCAGGACTGTTCATAGTCGGTAGACCAACTTCGGTTTACCAATGTAGTCAAGGCCAGCGTTATTGATAATATAATGTTTAATGTTATAGGTCATTTCATCATGGCCAATCGGCCGTAGTCAGAACCAAGTTAGTTTGCTTTCTCATACTACCGTAAATACATGTGTAAAATAGATGTCATATTATTTCTTGGTGTTATAGTGGAAACAACACTGAAGTGAATGACATCTGTTTTACATCTAGATGTACGGTGTACAGTAAGTCATTTCATCATGGCCGATCGGCCGTAGTCAGAACCAAGTTAGTTTGCTTTCTCATACAGTACTACCTTACACACATGCGCAAAATAGATGTCATATTATTTCTTGCTGTTTTAGTAGAAACAATGTTTAATCGAATGACATCTGTTTTACATCGAGGTGTACAGTGCACAGTGTACACGGCACAGTACAGCACAGTACAGTACAGTTCATTTCATCATACAGTACTGTACAGTACTGTAGCCCATGGACCGTACAGTACAGCTACAGTAAAAAGATTCTAGACTTAGTACTGTAGACTCTACTTACAAGCAGCTATGCAACCAGCACAGCTGGCGATTGCAGATTGCAGAAACCTGCAAGCATCGTTGACATATTGACTTTGCTCCTACGCCATCTTCGCGCTTTTCTCAGCTGTTTAAAGCGTCTTATTGATTTTATGGAGGTTTACTAAGTCAATCATGACAGCTACCTTGTCTGTTATTGGTGAATTGATTGGTGAATAACTGTTGGGTGAGTCATGGAGGACGCAGTCCAATGCCCACAATCGGAGAACATCAACTTCGCTTTGAGAGCATACCAGCAATGGGACCATCAAAACAGATTACTCTTCTTAACATCATTTCATACCAAGTGCTGCCAATGCAGTGTGATTGAAATGTTAAGTCAAAGCTTTGAAGGGCTAGCCAGCGCACCCAAGTTACCGGATACTTTTTTCCAAGTGGATGTAGAATGGATCATCAATCAATGGGAAGGATGGAATGAAGAAGATCGATCACAATTTATAACGGCCATTCGCTGCATCGATCAGCCGCTATTTAGACTGGTATTTCAATGCCAGCAATAGCGCTCGTACACTGTACTTAATCTTCCCTTTAAAGTTATTTTATATCTTTCTTGCTATAGCATCATTAGCATCGCTTACAAGGCTTCTTTACTATATGCCAATTTTCATCAATGATGTCCATGCTGAGAACTGAATGAAGCATGATACAAGGTTCATCAATCATTTTTTCTACTTTGACGCGTGTATCACACCTTCTTCGTCGTTTCTTAAACTATAGTGGATGCGATTGTTGCGATACATTAACTCAGCAATACCTCGTATGATCGTTATTAAGATGCTCGTTGTGACAGAGATGTTGACCTTGATATGGCAAAGTTATTTTCCACCATGCTAGATTCCAATCCACGCTAGGGTACTCATTTATAGTCATATTGCTTCAAAACTTGGACATGGTTATAATTGTCATTCCAATTCTGTACGACTGCCACGAAACCTTAGCAGATATTGGCTTGGAGGCTCCTTTGGTAATGGTTGATGTGATCAACTTTAAATTGCCACTTAATGAAGAATATTACAATACTCTGTTCAAATTAGTTTTCGTAAAGTTTGAAACTTTCCTAGGATTCGTAATTTTAAAAAATCGAATCTAATAATTTATTCTTTTAACTGCAATAAACAGAATCTCTAACAGGTGTAAAATAATTGAATCTGTGAAACTGTACCATTGCAGTATCAAATGCAATGTAATCCTAATTTGTCATTCCAATTCCTGGACCAAATATACTAACGGCCATGCAGACCAATACCAGCATTATTTACATTTCATTCATACTATTTGTTTTCGTTCGTTGGATAACCTTGTAGGGGTGCTTAAATTTCTTTTAATCATGAAAAATAGTCTTACAGTTAATTATCTCTGTAAAGACCTGAAATTCATAACCTCAATAGATGTTCAATAATTTTAAATAAATTGCAATATGTCCTGTTCTAGATAGGGTCATTTTACTAATGAAATATCTCCGATCTCGAATCTCGCGCAATTTAGTAGTATATTAATAAAACTCTGGATGTATCTGACATCTATCCTTCGTGTGATGGATCTAGTACTATTACTCAATCATTGCGTTATCAGGTGTATTATGGGTAAACTCCAAATCGTGCATCATTCCTTCCAGTTTCAACAAGGTAAATAATAAGCCGCACAAGAAAGAAAGTAGCTACAGTAGTTCATGCAGCTTTGGACAACAAGAAACCCTTTATAAGCCTACAGCAAAATAAATCTACCCCTTCCAAGTATGATCTATGAGCCTTACAATACTGGATTAAAACGCGCAAATTTTTTTATTTAATATACGCAATGTACAGTATATTATCATACATGATAGCTGTCGATATGTATACAAAAATATGTATGTAACGATGTAGTCATTTCAGGTTCCGAAAACTTTCCTTTCCAAAACAGGCGGTAGACTCTCCAACATTGAAAAAGGAGGTATCTCCACTACGTATATACTACCATCAGACAAGTAATCTGCATGCAAAATAAGCTAAAAATAAACAAAAAGACCCATCAATATGAGGATAAAGAGCTTGAGTATTTGTCATTTCTTACAACTAGGAGTGACAATCCGTAGCTTACAGGATGATGTTTTTAACATTCCGTAAAAAATATTTAACCTTCTCACCTTATATCGATCATATATTACAAAATTATCTGCAACAGGAGACAAATCAGAAACGGCTTTACTTCTCTTTCGCTTCCTCTTTTTGGAAGATAAAACAGCATCGACCGAAGGAATGGGCTAAAGACATAAAGATATTTAAACTGCACTATTGCAACAGCGTAAACGAACATGCGTACTATAGTATTGCAAACAGTAATCGAAAGATGGAAATTATCAAAGTCTTTACCTTGACAAGGTCAATGAAGTACAGAGCCTTACAATCATGTAACATGATACGAGAAGAATTACTTGGATCGAAAGTAATATGAACCATAACTTCACTTTTATACCAATCCTTAGGCATGCTACGCATAATGCATTCCTTTGACCATTGGGTCAGCTCTTTTTCATCACAGTCGTACAGTTGAATCTAAAGTATCCATTTCATGCATAATAAAACAAAATTAATGCACCATTCAGATACCCAGGGCAAATCCACAAAATATTCATAATTTAATAACCTGATTATTAACACAGGCAATTGCTAATATATGACTATCTGGTTGGAAAGATACGCATGCAGGCTGAGCATCAAATCTTGGTACTTCACAATATTTCTTTGAAAGAACAAGACAGTATTAGTAGGCCATCAAGCCGAAGATCCATTGTATTAAGTGACATTTACGTAACATCAAACCTCTTCTTCCGATACATCGAATACAAATATCTGGCCAGAGCTATCGGCATAAGCGACCAAATTAGTGTCGCAGCTACAGCAAAGGGATACACCAGGTCCAAAATCTGCTTAAAAATTTATCAAGACATATAAAACTAGAAATAAGATTATAAAATGTACGTTACAGACATCAATATTTCACTGCAGATCCTACCCTCTATATCATTTTGAATATTATATTCCAATTGAAGAGAGACGCCTTCTGGTCTGAGTTCCAATACCTGGACGAATTACCAATTAACGATCACAAGCTTGTACGTATAAATAAATATGATCAAAAAGTAAACCAACCTGAATAATACCATTTGTGGTTGCGATTATTAATTTACAATCATCCGATGTAAAGCACATTCTATGAGCACTTTTTACGGCCGGTCCTAAAGGAACCTAACAGGTTCATCACGTACATGAAAAATTTTAGCGTTTGGTTTCATTGAACAGATCCAGTTAAAAAAGTATCATCTAAGTACCGATTTAACCACACTGGCCGTTTCAGAACTATTCCTATCCTGCGTTATGTTAAACAAGAAAAAAATTTAATGTCGTAGCGGTAGCAATTATTATGATAATTGAATGTCTTTATATTCCAAAAAAATACCAGTTCCAGTTTGTACAATTTAATCCGCTTGCAGTCAGAATACACAGCCCACTTAGCCGACGGCGAAATAGCACTGCATACAATGTTGTTATCACCCTAGAAAATGTTGCTAAATAAGCACATTTGTATATTTCATAATGTACGTAAAAAAGTGCAAGCCTTAACAGTAGATTTGCCTTTGATTTTATCTCTAATAACATTAATGGCAATTCCTTCAAGGGTAATTTTGTGCCTGAAGTCGCAGCAGCAGTTGTAGCTGTAACCAAGATACACAAATTCGGTAATTGTTACAAGAAGCATGACATTAAAGGTTGCCAATATAACACCTCATGACATGATAACACAGGAACATATTAGCAATTAAGTAAAAAGTAAATTGATTTATGTAACTCACTCTCGGCCGATCCTAAAGACCAAAATTGGAGTGAACGTTGCTTTTGATAGAGGACAATATTATTCTTAGCTGCATGAGAAACTACGGGATACTGAAATATAAAGAAGGCAACTTATTTGTTCAATGCGCACAAATACATCACCACCTAAAACTAGAATAATGAAAGTGATTTGCTTAAATTTACTAAACGAACCTGTGGAAATGGTACCACTTTTATAGGTGGTTTCAATCCAAAAGCATGACTTTTATGCATTACAAGGCTACCATCAACCCCTTATTAAAAATTAATTATTGAAAGTTGTCAGAATACGCGTAGTACAAAATTCTTCAGTTATAACTATTCAGCCGCATAATAAGATTCTACCTCCTGAAATTACCACCCAATTGTCAGTTTTAATTTCAGCCATAGCTAAAGAGTTGACATCATGAGTATGACCACGAGTTGAAAATCCGGATCTTACCCATTTAACCGATTTTGAATCCTATATTTAAAGAAGTTGATTGTTAGTACTGTCATTTCGATTGAAATTATTTCTGCTGGCGTTATTAACAAAATCAAATTCACTTAAAAGAACTGGTATTACCTTGGAGGCAAAGGATTGGTACTGCACAATCGTATGGTCTACTCCACTAGAATAGAGTACATTTTCAGACTGAAACACAGCGATATTGAAAGTTAGTACAGTGATTATTATAGTAAAACTGATCTTCAAGTAAAAAGAGGAGTTTCAATTACCTTATTCAGACATAGAGTCAAAGCATCTGCTTGATGACATTGAAATGCCTAGTAATGCGGGTACGAGTAATTAGTTTACACACTCGCAGTTTGGAGGTATTACATTCCATTTTAAAGATTATCACGTCTTCACTATGACAAAACAATTGGTAAATCTGCAAAGACTGTTTACAATACTTTGTTAATTTCTTACGGAAATTAAGGTGCCGAAATTTCCATTCCAAAATTGTATTTTGCCTAAAGAGTCCGCACTAATGATGGTTTTGTCCCTAATTTGATTCATTACCGGGTGCGCAAATCATTAATGTTGGAAATTACATCAATACCATTGATTGATCTTATAACGATAATCATACTTCATTATGGTTACTGCCCATACAACCGTCGATTTTTTCTGAAATTCATCTAAAGTTATTCTCATTTTGGAAGTACCTAGCATTGTCATAATTCAAATAACGAATGGATTTTATACCTTAATTATATTTAACGTGATTTCTAATACATACATATACATGACAGTCCACATATACTGTAGTAACTGTGTGAAGTTTTACCTGTGCTAACATCCCAAATCCACATCATACTTTTATCTGTTCCAGTTACAATAACATCGTCATCATAGCTCCATGCAAGCGATACGACTTGGCATTCAAGTCTAATGAATACTTTCTCTAAAGCTAATTCCGGATCAACAGCAAACAATCTAACAGAACCATCCTGACAGCCGATCTAATCAGTTTTGGGGGGAAGTAAAGTTTATCTTTACTTCTAATGATTGCTTTAAAACGAATATTTGAAAAGAGATCTCTTGCAGATAGCAGAACTTTATTTTACCGCTAAAGTTGTTTTGCTGTGATTGCATGCCATACACCAAATCGATCCAGCTCCAGACGCAGTACTTGCCTATTGATGACAGGGAATAGGTTAGCAAAGTAGTATGCTTGATATTCTATTGCATACTACAGTATTATATTTGGTATCTCAAAATGGGACTGATCAAATTTACCGTCAACAAACTGTGTATTACTGGTATATGATATAACCAATCAGCCATGACTAACACTGTTTATCTTATGGACGTTATCCATGTTGCTAATACAGTACCTTCATTCTTAATCGTTTGATATCCCATTCTGCAATACTCCCGTGAAGACCAGCAGAATAAAGGCGGCCGTTGATCCACAATAACGACCTAAGAGATGTTCCAGTAATACCAGGAATAACCTAACAATACATGAATGAAATATCAAGCGAGAAATCAAGTACAATCACCTACTTTCCCTGCATAGCTGAAGGTCTAACTACCCTACAGTATACTACGTTCAGGCTAGGAAATGGAATAAATCACGAATAACTTTCAATAATCTCGATTATCAGTTTCATTACCCCTTCTTGGAACCATCTATCAAGATATCTCCAAATTTCAATGCTACCATCCGATCTAGTCATAAAATAAATATCCCACCATCAGTATCTTATTCCTTATTGTCGATCAATACATTAAGCAAATGCTACTGTAGTAGCAGAAATATCCCATTTGGCCTGTCAAATTAGAGTTGGTTCAAGCGTTGACATTGGCCATTTTTAAGCAGAGCTATGTACGTAGTACCGCAATGCATGGCGTGATATTTACATTTCAATGTACAGAGCAATTCAAGGTTTCATTTTAGTTGATGATGACAGAAATACAGATTGTATCAACAACTGAAGCTCGACTATGACTAAAATCATTCAACCAGCTGTGTCAGCACTCAGTAGGAAAATTGACTGTACAAGTTGCTTTATCCATTTCATTTGATAGTGCAACGGCCCAATTTCCACGTAACAATATTGATACAGGCATTGACGATAATGACAATGACAATACTGTATCGACCAGCTACAGAAGAATTGGGAAGAAAAGTTTAATTTTGTCTGCACAGTGCACAATCAATGCTTGTACGGTAAGGGGCAGGTATTCGTGGACGCAGTCCATCTAGTCCACGCTATCGCTTGACAAAACTTGGCAAAGCTGTATTACCATGGTCCTGCTGTGAAGAAATCGTCACAGCTATATCAGTATTTCATGGCCGCTAAGTCATTCTAACCACAAACAGACAAGGCTGGTTCTAGTTTGCAAGCGATCGTACGAAACGAATGGATCCATCCATGATCGTCTTCGCTGATGAGGCCGAAATCCTCTTTGCTGACATCTCTGATGGCCGATGGATCGACTAAATGAGCCGATTGCACGTTGATCAACACTCATTACCTGGCTAATGCGAGCTTGAACGGTTTTTCTACTTCATCCACAGCAATCCATTCAATGCTTTGAGGTATAAATTGCATAAATCGTGCACGATGAACCATTTGATTGCATTTGCCAGCATTGGCCTGATTCCGATCGGACTCCATGATGAGCACTAGGGCAAGGTAGCCAGGGTAATGCAGCCGTCGACTATCCATCGTCACCACACCACACATGCTCGGATGACGCTGAAATATAGTACTGTGCTTCAAACCGATACTCTGGGTTAGTCTCCAGACTAGCCCAATCGGCCGTTACCCTATACGATCAGTCTAGCCATGTCGTGACGTAACATGGGTACTGCACGTCACCCACCATGGAGTGAATCGCCTCACCCCCAACACCCGGTGCTGGGGCTGAGGCCGAAATGAACCGCATAGTTTATCACTATAGTACTACTGGAACACGGGTTTGTCTCGCCAAAGGATGACCAAACAGCTGTGCGAGTCTGTTACTGTGTCAGCTGTCGTGCGCTTCCTCGTGGATAGAACCAGTTTGGATCGAGTTAACCCCCCCCCTACCCCCATTTCAGCCCTTGTTAACCCTGGCCGGTGTTTAGGGGTGGTCAGAAAGACATTTGGAAACCCTTGGAAACCATGGCTGCAAGTGTGGAATTCTAACTTTAGGACATGGAATGACTGCCACTCGTTATGCTAGATATTGTTCTCATCTAACAAGGATGCAATCCACATCAGGTGCTATTCGAGTAGTTGTAATTATCATCAGTGAATGGATGACATGGATAGGCAACCATTGGGGTCGAGTAGATGATCAGTTGTTGTTGAAATGGGCCATTTGAATTGGACTTGGAGTCCAAAGTCATCGTAATGGACGATAGCTATCCATCGTTCTAGGACTAAATGGAGCTATAGTTGAAATAGACTATTTTAATCCAGCCTTCATTCAGATTATAGTTATAGTATAACAGTGATCTGACAGTGAGCTAGAGTTGAAATGGACCATTTGAATTCGACCTGAATTCAGTCTACTGTAAAGGTTATACTATCATGATAAAATGCATCTTTCAAATCATATCTCAATTCGGTCGCAAGTTGTATTTAATTCTAGACGATAGATTATTTTAAAGCTAAATGGAGCTTCTCTGATCTTTATTTAGTAAAATATCACGCTATGATAGACTATTGTTCACTGTAGCTATAAGTTCGATCATCTATCTTGATTTTATTACATGAATGATTCTGGCCTTGTAATGAATTGTAAATTAATTCCTCCCTTTCTTCAGTACTTTCTGTCAATTCATCCAACGTCATTTCACTATATTTGTCAGGTGATAGCCGTATACAAGAAGATATACTCGTACTATTAGGTAGCGAGAACAAGTTGGTGACAATTTAGGCACATTTCATAAGGTGTATTGACAGTTTGGAAACCCCTAAACCACAACTTTCACTGTGATAGCTACCTCTAGTTAGACAGTTATTGATTCTCTGATATGATTTAGTGTATTGGAGTCAGCGGTTACTCTACTGTTAATCCGGCTAGTTTAGCGTTAATATCGCTACGATCTGCATTGAACGAGTTATAATTCATATGAACTGCACCATAATATTCATTTCATCAACGCCCTTATAAGGGCCTCGTTGTAACACGATGTGGTTCGATAGGCTATGTTATGGTTCGTCAACTCGAGTAACAACTAGTAGTAATTAATCTTAAGCCATTCCACGAGCTAGTTTAAATGTAGATGATCTCTTTCACTACACAGAAATCCAGTCCTACAAGCATGCAATCCATCGGTTATGTAATACGTGCCTAATATTAACTTCACTACGAGCTATATTTTAAACGATGATATGTTCACTTACCACATACTATCTTCACTTTATTATTTACATAGCGTATATTATATACCTGACTCTGTCATCAATAAGTTACGGGTGTATTAGTTACCATGGCGGAATAAGTTCAAATATATTTATAAAGCGTAAGACAAGTGAGATAATATATAATTAGCCAGATCATGCTGATACTAGCATCGATGATGGTAATCCTTAATGAAGCAAAGTGTAATGGTGTACGCTTAAATGGAACTACTAACTAGTATTCATAAATGTACAGTCTATTTGTACACCCATCATTCAATATCCCAATTAATATCTATGTATTTTTCTATCAATCAAATATGTCGTTATTGATGCAGGTTTAACAACGCAAGTTTATAACCTGGCTGGTCAAGTACCGACGAGGAAATGGGTTAATGTACCCGGAGTACATTTTGGCGACAAGGACAAGAAATTATTCGACTTTACTATCTTGTCTTATAATATATTAGCAGATAACTTGCTATGGAAACATTCGTATTTATACAACCTTTGTCCTCCTGAAGCATTACAATGGGATTTTAGGAAAGAAAAAATCATTAACGAACTCTATCAATTAAATGCAGATGTATGTAGATTCGGTTAGAATTAGCTATGAAAACTTATTCTACAATACTACATTGATGTGTTTTAGAACGCCTGTGCTTTATGGAGACAGACCAACAGTTTTTCTACAGCTGTATATTTACCATTTTATTTATTATAGCATCTCTGTACTGAAATGTAGTTATATAATTTTACTTACTTGAAAGAACGTGATGTATACAATAGAGTAATGTTGCGTCATGTCTAATAAATAATAGGGCAATCTTAGTAGCATAAGTGTAATACTTGGCTAATTATAATTATATGCAAAATTCATAAATAATATATAGTGTTAAGGAATTAATTAATCAGCTGTCCAGGTCACACTTTATCGCTATTCTAACAGATTGTATGCCTTCAAGAAGTACATGATCAACATTATCATAACTACATTAAACCCATGATGAAAAGGAAAGGTATGAATATTTCATGTATGGTATTAATGTGATTGATCTTAAAATTTGTAAATTACAGTATCTTCGTTGCGCATTACTTGACTATTACGCGATAAATGTTCTTCTAAGTCAAATTCCATCAATGCTCCTGATAATAATGTCAAAAAATATTAAGAACATTTCTCCATAACAGCGCCCTGATGTAACTGTCTATACTGAAATTATTGCATTTAGCTATTCTTATGCACTAGATATTATACTATTTAGCTCTATTAGGGAGGGTTAACTAAGGAAGCATTTCTTCTAATAACATTTATGTATTAGGATACATTGGAGCCTATGAAAAACGTTTTGGAAATAACTTCGACGGTTGTGCAACATTTTTTAAGAAAACTAAATTTAACATGGTGCAACGCTGTCGCGTGGATTATCACGTCAACGGTGTCTCTTTAATGGATCGCGATAATATTGGGCTTATAGTTATGTTAGAATATCGAAATCCAACATCAAATAGACGCCATGGTCAAAGTAATCATGCTACCGAAGCGAGTGGACTGTCTGAGCCTAATCTTAAGCTTTGTATCGCCAATACTCACTTACTTTATAATCCCAAACGTGGAGACGTAAAATTAGCTCAGTTGACGAAATTATTTGCTGAAATTAATAACCTTACTAGTAATACAGGAAGGATGCCATGCGATCATGCTAATTGCGCTACTTCTAATCAGGATGTTGGCCAAGCATCTGCCAATTGTCCTGTAATTTTATGTGGCGATTTCAATAGTACCCCAACTAGTGCACTTTTTCAGTTTATCTCTGAAGGTCATTTAGTTTATGACGGTTTAAATCGAAAGACATTATCAGGCCAACGAAAATCAAAAGTACGCTATTCTGACGAATATGGTGACGGATTCAACCTACGTCGTGGTGCACTGCCACCATGGGGATTGAAAATTAGCAATTATTGCAAATATGATAGCGATTGTGACATTGAAACTCACCAAAATTATGATGCACTATTTCATCACTTAAATTTGCGTAGTGTTTATCGGTATTTAGAGGATTCTGTGACGACAGATTCACAAGCCGTAGACTATATTTTTTACTCTACTGATGCAGCTTGTAATTCCACAGATGTTAAAAACAATCAACCCCAGGTTTCTCATCGAATTCAACCCATAAACTATTTAAATTTGTATTCTATGGAAGATATGGAGAAAATGCAATTTTTGCCTAATTTTCAGCTAGCATCAGATCATATATCACTAATAAGTAAATTAAGGTACTTTGAAAGTAAAGTCGAATAGCAGTATTATGAACTTCTGTTGCAAATTAATAAATTCTTTGTCATGAATCTTTATCAATCCATTATAATGTCCGCTATTGTAAAAGTTTAGCAGTATGATAAAATACTGCACAACAAGATTGAGCATAAAGCAATAATTATTGAGATTTTATTTACATACGCTCTTACCAAAGGAAAATTCTAATTGTAAAAGTCATTGTATAACTAAAAGAAATCTATTACTGATGGATTCGTAAATGTGTAATTAAAGTCTTTCATTTTCCTTGGTCGCAATTCATTACAATTTTTTTAATTGAAATAATGGTGTTGATATATAAATTAAATATTTAATAATTTAATCAAAATAAAATATTAATTCGAGTCCATTAGAAATAGCGCCGCGTTGATATTGATTTTATATTAAAATGGATGTTATCTAAGATTGACTCTAAATTTTAATTTGATACAAAACAGGTTGCCTGTAAAAAGTAAACCGAGATGGTAATTAATCGAGGACAGTACAGTCAATGCAAGAATTCAGATTGATTAGTAATAACGTTACACACTTTTTGGTCTTATTTTTGTTCGTTGCCTTGGTTTCCGATGAATTATGATTTTGGGAAGATCCGTAAGGAGATTTCTGACTTTTGCTTGAAGTTGCAATCTTAATTTCTGAATACATCTAATAAGCCATTTGAATGATTATTATGGAATAATTAGCGCATTAGAAATCATTCGGAAATTAAAAAATTATTATCATAATTTAGACCGAAATCAAATTATTAGTTGTGACACCTTAGTTTTAATTTGTTTGGAGAATTTTTCCAACGCTTTTCGAACATTATCGGTGGAGGACTTTTTGTAATTAATCGCTACGTGCTGTAAGGATAAAAAATTCCTCTTAAAATGTAACGAATAAACAGCAAAGAAATAAATCAAATGACAGCCATGGGTATATTTCACGATATTAACTACTCATGAAAATCGCTTGTACTAGAAATAAACCAAATTTACCTTCCACTTAATAGGCTCGCAGCTGTGCACACTATGATCTACAGGTAGCCCAATTTTAACTTTTTCCAATTCATGATAGCCTAATACAACAGAATTCGCGTATGGTTCACTTTAAGAAGGGATAAATATTTTTGATTGTATGATATAGTCTACAACAATGTTATATATTTGTATGAATAAGAAATTACGAGAATAAGGATATAACTACAATATAGCCCCAAATTTGTTAAGCTTATATATCAAAGTTGACTAACATTCTTCATAAGATGTTTTATACTGTTGAATTAGATCCATAAGCGATCTATATATTAATGGTTTATACATCAAAGTTCTTCGTCTACTTAATCCAAGAGCTCCGTATCTGCCTGAGTAATGAATCCCTAAAACAACATGTCTGACGTTGATAAACAGGAAAGTTAATGATTAAGTTAGTTCTTAAAATTCGTCAGTTACAAGCAGCGGTTAAATTAGAAAAATTATTCGAAAAGTAATACCTGTGATGATGAGAATTAAAACATGATTTAAAGGATATAGGAAAGCGATCAAGGCCTTCTAAGCCACACGTAAAATAGCTGCAATGAAAAAACAACGTAAGATGTAGAGATGAATAAATATACGAATAAGTACATAATATTCTCCTATTTAGTTTTATATGTGAATACTATAAACTACTAGAACTTACATGGAAAGAATTACTGCCTCTAAGCATTTAATTGGTAGCGATTCTTTAATCATATCTTTTGCAATCTCCATCAGTCTGTCAAAATGAGTAAAACATAAATCATAGCTTTGCATCCAGTTTCATTTCTTAAAATCGAAGTATGTAAATAAATTTCATCTTAAATTTAAAGTCTAATTATTACCCTGACATCGGTCTACTCTTCTTAATTTCGAAAAATTGTAAACCAGTAAAGTTGTAACTATTAAAACAAATATCATTTCATCATGTTTAGGTCTAAGTAAGTATTAAGGTAAAGATTAGATATACTGTACGAGATGTCAACAAGATCCTTACTGAAGATCAGAGATATAATTTTGAATACAAATAATTCGCTCCTCTGTTGTCATTCCCGGTGTAATTGTGGGTGCTATCGGGACAGGAACCTGATGTATATTAATTTATATGAAATTACACTTTTCTACACGCATTGAAGCTTTACGATAGTTTTAAATCATCTTTCAAAAGGCTAAGTATATTTTAAATTCTACTTTTGATAGAGATCGGTTTCCTCGGATTTGATTTTCAGCCTCTTCACCTTTTGCTGAATGGTGACGCTTGGTGTGCTTCCATAATTTGTGCCAATATTCCTGCTGTATAGGAAATCCACCGCGATTAATATAAAAATTAACGTCTTCGTCGTCACTTTCCATCGAAAACTTGTGCTCTAAATAAAGCAAAAGTGTAATATCATATCTATGTCTGCTCTTACTGTGTCCAGACATGAAATTATAGTGTTTAAATTGTACAATGAATTCTTGTAGCTTATTTGATAGAAAATTAAACTGCCTATCTTTCGTTTTCGTAAAAGTAACATTTAAAATGATCTTATTACTATTAAATCACAGTATTCACTTATGCAAAATTTAGGCTTTAAACATGGAGTCATTCGAGCACTTTAGTATTGAAAGGTCATGAGGAAGATTTAGGCTGTTTAAAGAATTATTACATCCGCTATTTCTTTTTGTATAACGTTATCATAGATATCTGTGGAAAGAACTTCCACTCAAACTAATGAGATCAATGCTACCTTCTACGTAGGTTAATTAAAGATATACGCTAAATCTTATGGAAATACAACAAAATAATAGTCTTAAGGTAGCATGCTTTCAGGAAAAACTTTTTTAACAGTTAAGAAAAAGCGTGAATACTAGCACGACATGTATGATCGTTTATTTCGAATAAATATCATCCTTAGACTTAAACAGAAAGGTTTTCAATCAATCTATAATCTTTGAAGCATAATATAAAGCTATTGAATTCAATATGAACGGTTAGATATCAAGAAGAAATTGAATGTGTGTATTTCTAACGATCAATCCTATCATTTAGCTCATTCTCTTATAACAAATGCTGAGTCGTGAATTTGGTAACTACTACTTATAGGGTCATGGGTTCTAGTAGTAAGGCTCGATGGTAAAGAGTAAGTTAACGGCACCAGTCCATAGGAGACTAATGGTGTCAAAGATACTTTATTTAGGTATTAGAATAGTTAAATGCCATTACTGAGTAATTTAGAACCGATAGCTGTATCCCTAAAGTGAGAATGTAGGGGAATTCATTCTGATATCTAGCTACGTATAGAATACGTTGTCTAAGTTGCTACTGTAATATTCAGCAATAAGTTCGGTACAGAACTGTTTTAATTAGCTAACCTAGGGAGACAATTTTATTGAGAGATAGTTCCGTAGTCGGGATAGAAATTTTACTTATTACACTTCCTTTTCGTTTTAGATATATAACAAAAATTACAATAGAATTCAAGAGTATATGATTCACAAGAATTTGCGATATAGAGAGTATGTTTCGAACGATCAGTTCTCGATTTGTTTTATTTTCACACATCGAATACCAACTGCGGTACTACGTTACTGGTAACAAATTTAGTAATCAGCTTCTATTTCTATTTTAGCTATACGACAAAGAAGCCTATATGATTTTAAATTAATAACCACTTCTTTAAATTGTCGAAGAAAGGAAAGAAATCATCCGATTACGATAAAATATGCATTAGAAAATATTCTTTATTCCATAACTTACGTCAAATTTTTCTCTGTCCCTTCCACGATCGTGTTTGTACTTCCAATCCAATAATGAATATTTACCGTAGAATAAAAACCATCCTATAGGATGGGTTAAATTTATTCGAAACTGCTTGCCTGCGATTTGATGCCAGGAGCAGGAAACTGATTTTGGTGCTTGTATACCGTTGCGTAGATACGAGCTATTCATTCCGATCACACTCGGACACTCGGATAGCAGGACGGGTTTCCACTTCTCTAATTAGTACGCAGAATTTAAATTTATTTTTGCAAATGGTGCATTATATACCACAAATAGCAGGCACTTCTATGTAATATGCTATAATGGAAAGATTTATTAATTCTCTATCCTGTTTTAATACAACAAATTCGTGTTTTAGCACATTACCCGCTATTCAATACTGCTTGGAATGGCAGAAAAGATAAAATAGCGGTATTAAAAACGGTATCTTAATGGTTATTCAATTTAAAATTATTCCTACATTAATAAATGATATAATGGCTTTTTAATAATTTTATCATATAAAGAAACTATCGTAGAATAACCATTAAAATAAATGGTTTTATAAACTATCTCAGTACTAAATTTCAGTGCAATAGTAATTACATTTCCTATGTTCATTGGTTCTAATACAATCTAAAGTTTCTAGAAATTACGATACGTGACAGAATTATTAGACCAATAAAGAACATTTCTTTATTTATTTATTATGATAAATAAGTAAGTGTTTCTTTTGGTCAGTTAAAATTGCTATCCATCAAACTAAATGTAAGGATTTAATAAAAAATGACACCTAGCTCGGCATTAAATTAAGTATCCTACTAAATAAAATTATCAGATCATTTACTTTATGGTATTGGATTCAGAAGTTGAAAAATGACCTTCAATCTTATCCCCTGCAGTTCTCTCAAGTTTAGTGCAATATTTGAAAAAATAATTATTAAATTTGGTATCAAATTGATAGAAGTCCGTGATAAAATGTCTTCTCAAAAATACAACAAGAACTACAGTTTCTTGTAAACTTCACTTTAAGGCATAAAATTAAGTTTGTCTTCCAACTACTAAGGTCTGCCAAACTGCAACCAGACTATCTTTGGACTATCTAGCGTACAATTTAAACTATTCTCGTACAATCTTGGATCGTAATCTAAGCTATTTTGAGGCTGTACTACAAAATGATGTCTGCATGCTGGTTCTGTAGCATGTTATGCTTTCAAAACTACTTGATTTCTTCATAAATAAATGATTATGATTAAGGCCTAACTATGAATTTTGAGATACTTCTAATACAATTTTCTAAAGATAAAATATCGTTTTGGCAAGATCAAGTACTTTATCAGCAGCTGATCCTTAACTATTATATCTACTAAATCGTAATTCAGTTTAAGTAACGAACTCAAATGGAATCAATTTAAGTGAATGCTTGTTCAAGATATTCTTAACCAACTGACAAACTGATAGAATAATAAAACATTGCAAGGAGAGCCAATAAACCCCAGTAGTCAATTAAACTGTCTTTGACAAAGCAAACTGGAATGGATTATGGTTATAGGGTAATCTACTCCTTATCAGCATCTCATCTTCTCTACTTCTGAATTTCTTAACTACTTGTTATGAAGTGACTTTTCCTATAAAATACTTATCTTAATTTCGTCAGATAAAATGCCGTTATCGATGATGTTATACATACTTTTAATCGATAACTACATAGCTTTATAATATTGTCTATAAACCGATCATTAATGTTTAGGTCGATTTACTATTGAATGAATGATTTTTTCAATAAAATTTAGGTTCAGTTAGGCCTAAGAGTGACCAGTATGGCGTTACTGTTCCTCCTGACGAATGGAGATCGTCTGCATTCCGAGTCGTAATATAGGTTAATGTCAGGGAGGACAAACCTGACTCTAGACTCATAGAGTATATAGTTTCTACAACAGTTTGATTTTTTCTTGTTAAAAATTTCGATTTGTAACACTACTACAGTATACACCACCTTTTATATGCTGCATTTAGCAGTTGGTAGTATCAAACCAAAGGATTATCATTCTGAAGTCATTTAAATTAATCTTACAATTAATCACTTAGCTATAGAAAGAATTTACGGCAGATGACATGATATTATTAAAATAAACAACAAATCTTATCACAAATAAAATTCTGTCACATATCCAACATATACAGCGTTACAATTACAAAGATTTGCATTTCAAGTTGGTTACATACAGCAATCTCTTATCATGTTCTGTATATTACCGTACTCAACAAAACTTACGACTTCCTAACTATAACATATTATAACCAAAGTGTCGAAGTCAAATTTACAAGATCTACTTTAATCAACAAATTAAATTAGTCTCAGTTATAAGCATTAACAGTATGTTGCAATACTTAGACTACTTTCGTGTATTTTATCTAAGACATACACACTGCTACAATACTTAATATAGTAGAATTCTGAAAACTAAGCATAATTACAGATGGAAGTGTTTGTCATATTATATGTTATATTTTAAGACACTTTTACTTCAAGCATATTAATCAATGGTATGAACATTAATGAATTCTATAATTGATATTTATTATTATTCTGCGCTATAGCTTTCATTAACATAAGTCGATTTCAAAATTTTGTTACTGTCACAACTGCAAATTAAACTTAAAAAAATCTCCCTTATTTTCACGTTACCAACAAGTAACCACGAATAACCAATTGCCAACGAGCAACTTAATGATTTATTCAACTTTAACATAAGCAGAAGTCTCCCATTCCTCTATCGTAATTCCTTTTTATATCATTACAGTTAATACATCAATACTCCAAATTTGTAAGGTAAGCGAATAAAATCACGGCAACAGTAAATATGTTTAAAACATAATCTCACGACAGTAATTATCCTTAAAATGGCGAACATAACCAGTAATAATCCCTAATATGGAAATCAATTGAATATAATAGTTAGTGACTATCAACGTCTTGCATAATTTTTTCTCCTACTATATAATTCAATTTATTTCAATAAATACAATGCAATTTAATTTGCATAAACCGTGCACGTAGGTACTATTGCATAAAATTTGTGTAACATCAAGTTACTGTTATAGCGTTAGCACACCATTTGTCGAAGGATTAAGTGTATACAGATCATTTATAAGAGGCCTTTAGGGCTTATCCTCTTACATAAATAGACAGAAAATATTAATTTATTGGATAGCAGCTTATTTTTAGTTATCGTATTTGATCAATAAATGAACAGCTTACTCGTGATACTTAAGGTGTCGAAGGGCATGGAAAGCCTTAAGTTAAGGTCTAAATTGATAGCTAGGGATTAAATAGCAAAGAATATAATAAATTTGATTACGGTCTCCGGCATTAATTAAACAAGACATAAAGGCATTCTTAGCAGATTTTCATGCAAAATGATGATTTTACAACGTAAGCAAACATTAAAACAATTAAAATGAATCAGTAATGATTACATCAAGTGCAATTCACAATGAATGTACTGATATGTATAAATAGCATATTACGGATTGATGGCAGGGTTGGAAAGGCTTGATGGATTACTTGCTACGATACAGTAATTTCGTAAATTTTGAGATCATTCCA